GACTGTTTCCCACATTCTCACCGGCCTCTGCGTGAAGAAGTTTGTTAGTATCAAATGCCACTTTTTCCACCTCATAGACATCTATAAAATGCATCGCTCTCAATCCATATCTCATCTTCACTACAATCCCATAAAGCCATTACGAACAGGGCAATCGTCCAAAACTTGTCCTAATGACTGTTACCTTTGGTGTTTCAATAGCTTCACGAGAGCGTGTCCCTTGTTCTCCTGTGTTGTTAAACAAGGTGTTTGATTACCTACAGAACCTGAACAATGAGATCTGTTCCCTTTCAAAACACCTTGTATTTTGCAAATATTGGCAGGACTTTGAAGGGCCAGATTTTTCTTGTACGAAACCCAGCATGACAATGCTTTAACCGTTACATCAAGGGAATTGCTAACAGAAGGTGATGGTACAGCTCACATTATATTTTGGCAAGGTTGCTTTCTGTTGCCAAGGGTTTGAATCCTGTGCTAGTTTCATAACATTTTTACCACGAAACCTTAACTTTCAGGGTGTTCTTGCCCTGAGAGTTAAGGTCTTGTGGTAACAATGTTGTGAGTAATTGCCCGTCGAGACAAGTTGCTGGTATGAGTTGCTGGCTGGCGAGAATGTTTATTCTACAGCAGATGTGATGCCAGGTGCATGAATGTTTTCACCCACAAAATACTGAGTCAATCCCTTTACAGTATATTCTGTGAAGCGCTTCAGAACATCCCAATAAATTTTTGTTCAATGTTGTTTTCTTTAATGTGTATTACTCCGCAAAGTGATGTGCCAATCGTCTAACAACCAGGTTCCTATTTACTGATAGGTAAACAGATGCGCGTGGAGTAAGGAAACTCGCCTAATGTTTTGCCCTGCCCGGGAATCGAATCTGGGTCCTCTTGCTTGCGAGGTGGGTGCTCTAAACACTACGCTACAGGTGATAGTACACTCTGCACAGTCCCCTGCAGTCTGCCGTGGGGTGCAAGTCTGGGAACATTTATCTGCCTGCCCTCGCTGGAGCAAATGGCACAGGTCCGGACAGCCTGAGAAATGAACGTCACGGATATAACTTACCTTGAAAGATCACATAAATTGTTTTGAAGTATTTTCCAACTTTTCACAATTGTTTCCATATGCCCACAATCTACAGGTGGGGGTGATAAAACATAGGACCCAGACGCAGGCCATTTGGTTAATGAAAGCTGCTGCACCTTGTCTCCTGTGAGCTTTTTAATCGACTTTTCCAAAACGTACAAGAATGTAAAAAGTCTGTTTTATTTTTACAGCTAAGAAATACGTTGTGGGGTGGGAAGGGGAGGGAGGTGGATCAGATTTACACCCACGCTCTGTCTATTAGTTTCTGTGTTAATTATCACAGTGTTTCTGATTTCAATATATGTATTAATTCGCACAGTGGGTGCGAATTAATACATCACAATTTTTCACCGTAGAGTATTACATTGGTAGTCTTTCAATTTTGGAACTAGAAATAGTTTATTTCCTAGTGTGTACATTCCTATATGGCAAAGATAGATTATCTTCCCATTTCAGAGTTGTCCTGCTAAAAGCCAGGAAGGATGGTATGTGAATCCACAGCTTTCTGTCAAGCTGACACCAATCCCACTCCATTGACTTGACTTTGTTAAGACTTTGATCTTGCTCAGACCTTCCTCTTTGACTCCGCCTATGGTCATCTCCCTTTCTCCATAGGCGACAGAAGCTTTTTACGATGGGGAAGGGGTGGGGCAAACCAGGGGAGAGTGATGATGGACAGGGGGAGACGACCAATAGGGAAACGCAAGGCTTCCGCTTATAGCGGAATTGTAGGGCAAACTGGGCCACGATTGCCTCTCGTGATTGACAACTTTGGGATTAAGAAAAACAAGTGACACCCTGTGATGAATTGTATGCAGAGTCCGTGTTATAGCTTATTTAACAGGCTCAGGATTGTCATGTAAAATAGGGCCACTGATTCGTGGTGGGGCGGGTGAGCCACACCCATAATTTTGCCCTGCCCTGCCTCCTGATTCCGCCACCACGGTCTTTCTCCCTGGCTTGGCATCAAGTGATGCTAATGTTAATAATAATCCTTGCATTTGATACATTATCACATCGCTGAGACATCTCAAAAAGCTTCACAGGATATATTCTTAAATCCTCAGAGACGTACCTCGTGTGAAGGGTGCTATGGAAATGCAAGTTGTTAATTCTGGAGTGGGGTAATTTTTTCCCTTTGAGCGAGTAGTCCATTCCAGGAATGCATTCCATTTACGTATTCCAGTACATTATATGTAATGGATAATTTAGACAGGTCACCATTTGTGGGTATAATACCCATGAGACTACCACCAACAACTTGCATTTATATATGTGGTGTCCTGAAGCTCAGTGGTTAGAGCACTCACCTTGTAAGCAAGAGATCTGGGTTTGATTCCTGGTAGGGCGAAAACTTGCGCAAGTTTCCTTAGGCTTATAAGCAGTTTGCCCTACAATTGGCTATAAGCGGCTATAATCCCTTAAAAAAAAACACAATAATAAATTGGTCACTTCAATCCACGACTGTTTGTGGGACATTGCTGTGCACAATTGGCTGCCACTTTTCACTCACAAAATATACAGTCAATTCACTTTACAGTATATTCTGTGAAGCGCTTTGAGACGTCTCAAAAACATGATGAGGCGCTGTATCAAATGTAAGGATTATTATTATTATCCAAGTCGTGCAAATAGTGACTCCTGGAAGGATATCAATTCAGCTCTGGGCAAATCTGTTCCAGCTTGATCTTCTTTCAGAGCTTTGTTGCCGAGGGGCGACAGGATTTCTTATTTAGGAATCTCTTTAGAAACCCATGTAGTCTATTCTGTGAAGTGCTTTGAGACAACTAGAAGACGTGAAAAACACTATATCAAATGCAAGTATTATTATTATATAATGCCCTTCATGCAGGGCAGCATCTCTAAGCGCTTATTCCCCAGGAATTCGTCATGAAAGATAAAAAGGAGTCAAACATTACCAGGAGAGAGGTGAAGGATGAAAAATGGCAAAATAAATTGGTGTACGATAAAAAAAATTATGCGCATCAATTTTTAAAACTTTGTAGAGAAACAACTACTATAGTGCGTTTTATACACACTATTGGTTCTAGTGCTGCCCTCGTGTGTTCATGTTATGTATACACAACATTCACAGAAATAGTGTAACAAATTTGGAAGTTTTTATTGTAATTATTGTGGGATTGATTTTCCATAGTTCCTGTTTTGTGTGAAATCTGTGCGCCTTTGTGGGATGAGTCAGTCTAGACTGCCACTTTAATTCAGTGCTGGGGATGTGCCTCATTGTCGGAGGTGCCGGTCTTTGGATGAGACTTTAAACCGATGTTGTGTCTGCCTGTTCAAGTGAATCTTAAAGATCCCACAGCACTATTCGAAAGACAAATGGAGTTTCTGATATCCCGAGGTCCTGGTCAATAATCCCATTCACTTTATGGCTATTCGAGACATTGCTCAAATTGGTTGCCGGGTTCTCCTACAAATATACTCACTCCACTTTGCAGTATATCCCGTTGTGTAAAGACTCTTTTACCAAATGTAAGGATCATCATTACAGTATGTATGTTTTGTTCAAATGCCAGTCATCATCAAAAGGTATGACCGAGGACAGCGACACCTGGTGGCACAGATTAGCATATAGTAGACGACCATTCAGCCCGTTAGTTACTGTTCAGTGTTTTGGACCTTCAACAAGCCATTCACCCTTATCCCATTTTCCCACTGTATTTGCTATAACTTTTAACGCCTTTGCTCTGCATGCGCTTATAGAATTTTCTTTTTATTGCCCCAAGCGACCCTGCTCTAACAGCTATGCCTGGCAAATCATTCCATACTCTGAAAAACCTTTGGGAGAAATTCTTCTGAGCCTCTCCTTTTACTCTCCCAGTGACAATCTGTGTAACAAGAGAAAATTTATAATAATTATTGGAACCATCCTATACTAGTACTTTCTGGCAGAGGGCTGTAAAGATATTCAAAGCTTTAAGACAATTTACATACTCAGCAGCAGATACTTCTCAGTTGAAGAAACAGATGCTGTTTTTCCTGGTGTCTTGGCGACAATCCCCAAAATAATATTGTTCATTCACTTCATGGCTGTTTGTGGACATTGATGTTCATTTGTCCACAAATATAGTGACTACACTTTTCAGTAACTTCCTGTGACGTGTTTTGAGATGCCCTCCCACCGTGAAAGGAGCTATACCAAATTATTATCATCACTTGCCGCTTGCTAAAATAGCAATACTTCATTACGTTTTAACAACGGGATATTCACCTGGAGGTGTCCACCATTGTTGAAGATACACAGCCTTTTCTACTTTATTCATCAGCTCAGGTAAATTAGGAACTTCAACAATAATAAATTGGTCATTTTCAATCCATCACTGTTTGTGGACACTGCTGTGCCCAATTGGCTGCCGCGTTCGCCCACAAATATACAGTCAATTCACTTTACAGTATATTCTGTGAAGCGCTTTGGGACGTCTAGAACACGTGAAAAGCGCTATATCAAATGCAAGGATTATTATTATTATTAATGTGTGCATATCAGCATTGCTTCATGTGGCACGTAACACTAATGACCACTTGGCTACTCGTATAACTGAATATACTTCTGAAACTGTTGCTTATTTTTTCTCCTCATTGGTGTTTCACCTAAAAACTTTTAACAAGACTAGGTTTAATAATAATAATGCTTGAACTAACATAGTCTCTTTCGCATTGAGAGGCTGTATGAAAGTGCTTGTGGGATTTTCAAACATGAAATTTGATTTATTTTACCTAGTTTATGTGTGTATGTTATTTCAAATTTATACTCTTAAATGAAATTATAATAGTTTAAAAAATTGTTTACTGTGCCTGCAGGTGACATTCCAGGTATGTAAATACATAGTTCCCATGGCTACTGATAAACAATGAGTAAAGACACAATGTCAGGTAATTCAAAATGCCCCGAATATTAATCACAACTTCAATTTTATTCACTTTGAGCTCTGCATAGATGTGCACATAGTGCCTGCATAGGAAGTAATCATCAACTAAAAGTCTCATGTAAACATAACAGCTAGTGTATGAGCTTTTAGCCCCGACTTCTGAGACAGTCAGTTTAACTGTATTAAGTGACATTGCTGTGTTTCGGTAAATATACTCACGTGCCTGGAACTCACAATCATGGATGAGTAAGAATTTTCTTTTGAACAATATTTGGAAGTCTTCCATTCTTGGAAGTGGAAGTGATAAAACATATGGAAGTGATAAAACATATGGCTTAATTGTTCAATGTGTGTCTCGTATGCATCATGTGTAAAATGTGTGTATAGAGGGAGTTAGTTATCAATTATATAATTGAGAGTCTCTAATGAAAAAGACTAATTAATTACATTCATTGTAATTACACAGAACCTTTAATTCCTCTCTGTAATTATCTGAGTGCCTCCAAGCACATCAAGAACAAGGCCAGGTTGTCAACTAAGAAAATCACTTTGGACATTGACCATTCAAGATATTTGACAATAATATTACCAAGATGTTCAGCTGCATGTTCAGCACATGACTTCCACTCCATATCCCCTCCCCCAATTCATACATCACTTACTTTCCTCCTGACAGTTTAGAACACCTTCATGTCATTCCTGTCAAATTTCCATCATTGAAGCTTCACAGCTGTTTCCTTTTTGAAAATACCCTTGCATTGTTTTATCATTGCAGCAACAGAAAAAAGAATATCACCAGAATAGCTGCCTTGTAGGGTTGTCTTTATATTTTGAATGGGAGCAATCTGGTATTTTGTAACAAAGTTTCACCTAACCACACAAGAGAATGTATACTTCGAGTGGGTATTTAGTTCCCATTAAAACATGGCAAAAAAGTGCTCTGAGGGACACTTCTGTGGAATGGAAGGGGAAGTCACAAGATTGTCTTGCCCTTCTTGTTTTCTAGGTTGGAAATGTGGCCTATCACTATTCAAAATAATTCTACGATCCTGCAAGCTGAGTGGACTACACCTTTAACACACACAAATTTGGTAGATAGTTGAAAATAACAGAAGCTATTACATGTTATACAGAAGGCAACAGTGACTAACTTGAGCTGTAAACCTGTTACAATCTGTTATCTATGCAAATAAAAATGTTCATTTTAAAAGTACTAACTAGAATTAGTCAGATATAAGGACAAAAAGGGTGAATGAAGATGTGAAATGCTTTGGAGTGTCAATTTGTATTTACATAACAAAACCTTCATGAATTAGTATGTGCAGTCAATCACAATTGAGATAGTTGTTAACAGAATTTTTTTTGTAAACAGGGTAGTTATTTAACCCTTGCCAGGTGTGCAAACCTATATACAGACCTCAACAAAATGTTTCCAGATGGCAAAAATCTGCATTTGGCTTTGCAATGCAAGTCTTTGTATTTGTACAAATAATAAAATATCCCATCTGTCTGACACTCTATTAAGCATACAGAAAACAGATGGAAGATCAATGAAGGATATGAAAGAATAATATTTACAGAACTGCTGATGACTGGCCTTCTATGACAATATGCAATTATAAACAAATATTAATTATAAACTCAAAATTACACATTTAATATTTAAAAATGCAATTTCATCTACATGCCATTAAAATGCTATTCTGTATTACACATCATTCACTTAAGCCTAGCAGAATTAATTTGGCTGTATCAGTAGTTTCTGTTGCGTCAAATTAATTGCCATATAAATGCAACTTTTGTGCCAAGACCCTCCAACTAACAAAGTCTCCATTTTCTGTTTTGTTTAAGAGGAAATGAAGCAGCTGCTAAAAGTAGTGTTGATGAAACTCAAAACCACTGACTACATATGCCAACTCAAGAGATACCGGAGGGTGTTCTGATAAAACTCACACCACTTCTTATCAAACAATTAGACTACCACCAGAGTGTTGATTTTAGAAGATTTATCCTGATTTTATAGGTTTGGGTTCGTACCTGGACACACAGCATATATTATTATTAGTATTATTATTACTAGAAAATGGATATTTATAAATTCTGCCAATTCTGGGATCATACTGGTATTATTCTAACAGCTGGTGGTGCGATGAAGGATTCTGTTTGAATATGACAAAGTATAACTATTGGTAGTCAGAAAATAATAAAACTGGTGTGTAATCCTGGCCAGAAATACTGTAAACAAACTAAGAAAGCAACTGAAGTACCCATTCAAGTTTGAGGTTACTAAGGCTGAAAAATAATTTACATTTAGATTGAGCAAACATAACAATTGGTCTTTGATCCACTTTACAGAGCTGCTTGCATTGCTTTGTATGCTTATCAGCACTATTATTGATTTAAATAAATTATTTATTATTTATTGATTCTAAAATATGTATCCGAGGAGTATCACATTTTTAGAGATAACAATAAGTTAATAGAAACCATTTAGCTTTAACTTTTTTGAATATCTACCCTGACATCTTTCCTAATGAGTTAATGAAGGGAAGCAGAGGAAAATCTACAATCTTGTCTGACTAGGGTCAACGGTTATTTATTAGCCACCGATAGTTAAAATATTTCAGAGGAAAAATAGTACTCAGTTAGATTCTATTCCGGGACTGAAGATCCCATTAACCTACAATTTCATGGTTTATTCAATAGATTACTAAACAATAGTATTAATATGAACATATTAGGAGCTTCTGTCCTTTACATGCTTAAAGACTTTGTGTTGTCATATCAGGTAGATTAGGTAATTTTTTNATGAAAAGGATAGCACCTGCATTGTCAGTCTAGGGGGATGGCCGAGCGAAAAAGAAGGTTTTCAGGCTCAGCAAGAATGGGCCATTTACACCAGATACTTTGGTTGTTTTACAGCTTCTTGTGTAAACCTTCTCCTCGTCACAGCATTATCCTGGTGTTAAGACTGGAATAAAGTTCAATGCACGAGCTGTGAGTTTAATCTTTTACAACGCTACAATTCCAGTGTAAAACCTCTTCCAGCTAAATTCTGGATCAGCTTGTGTTGACTGGAAAGCAAGCCTTTGCATTGTGGCATACAAATACATCTGGTTTTGTTGTGTAATGCAGGCAGTTCTGTGTTCTTCACCTGACCTCTGTGAATGTAATTTAAACAGAGGAGCTCGTCTTATATTGGTGGTAACCAGAGGAAGTTATGAGATTGGTAGTAACCAGTCTAAAAATGGGTCTGATCATTTTTTTGTAATGTTTCCACTTTGGGTTGTACTCCTGCCAGTGACTTGGCCAGTCTGACTTTTATGAGTGGTGACTGGCTGCACAGGAGCCTTTTTCTTTGGGATCTGAAGCTTGTTTTTGTTTTTAAATGCTCGGCCAGGGTCCAGTTTGTTAACAAAAGTCTCGCCTTCCTCCACGGCAACGTTTGTGTTGAAGGTAAGGGGTTTGTACATATTGAACCATTGCTATAAAGGGAAAAAATAATGTTACGTTACAGAATAAAATGTTGTTTGCAAAAAATATCATCACAAGTTCACAAGATCGGTTTGGATGAAGAAGGCCCGGCAGTTCATCCAATTTTATCCTTACAGAATACCCACCCTAGCGTCTTCCCATCACAGGGGCAAGCTATTTTTCATCGATCCAGGATCTAGGCCTCAACCATCCTTCCTAGTAACATGTTCCTGTCTGGATAAAGACAATCTTCCTGGTATCTGTCCTGAAAATGTTCTTTGCAAATCTAAGCTCATGTCCTCTTAGTCTAATGTCTTGGTGCATCCTAAAGTATTGTTCTGAGCAATGAGTCAGCTAACACCCCAAGAGCTTCAGCTTCCTGCTTCGCAAGTTCTTCCCATCCATGGACTACATGCAATTCCTATTCTTACCTCCTATATATGATTATCTATATTGAGCTTCATTTACTTAATATAATTACATCCAGTTATCAGACCATGGAAAAAATAATTTAAGTATGAATTAAATCAAGTTACAATAAAATTTCAGAAATAATCTGAACCAAATTCTGTTCTGTAATAACTTTGAGCACTTTTGATATGGGCCAAAGGCTCATGTTGATGAACCAGTATGAATCTTTACATAAAACAAATTATTTGCATATTTTCCATTAATTCTAAGCCTTTTGTGGTAATAAAATGCATTTTTAAATTAGATGTGCTATAAATTTTCCAGGGGGTTAGCACTGCATGAAGAGATGCCTTAATCAAGCTGATGAAAGTGTAAAGTCTTATTCCAGCTTCTAATTTAACTCAAATAAAAACATCACACTTTATTAAAAAAATGACTTTGATAAACAAAAGTTCAGCATCACTCCTCTTATTCAAAAAGTAAACTATCCCGTTATACAGAAAGATTATTCCCTCTTACCTTAGCTTGGGGACTGATGCCATGTTTTGTAAATGTATACTGCCACTGTGGTAGTCCAAGGTGAATGACCATCAGCCGATAGTAGGCCGTGAATGTGCTGGTTATAAAATGCCAGTAAAGTGCTCTGTCCAAGAACCAAATTTCAGCATGTACACTTGCAGCGCCTGTGGGGAAAATGTATATAAATAGGATTACAGGGCTACAAAGAATGAAAATTATGAATATAATAATAAATAATAATCCTTGTATTTGATATACTGTCTCATGATGTTGTTGAGATGACTCAAAGTGCTTCACAAACTTTTACTGTGAAGTGTAACAACTGCATTGTAGGTGAACATGGCAGCCAATTTGCACACAGCTATAAAATGAGTGACCCATTTTATTTGGGGGTGGGGGGGGAATGATTTGTGGGCCAGGACACTGGGAGCCATGATTCTTTAGCGTACATACAAACAGGCAATCGGAATCTTGGTTTAACATCTTATCTAAATTCAATTTACAGTATATTCTGTGAAGCGCTTTTGAGACATTTCAACTGATAAGGCGCTATATCAAAAGCAAGGATTATTCTTATTATTTAAACTCCAACAATGCTGCACTGTTTCACAGTGTCAGCCTAGATTGAGTCCAAAGGCCAGATGTGGGCTTGAACCCACAATCTTCTGACTCAGAAGGAAGATTGCTATCAACTGAGCCACGCTGATGCTTGATTCAGTTCGTAGCATATAGAACTATAGATATTGAAAAATATATACACATAGGTCTACAAGGATTGAAAGTGTGAACATAATGCGACTAGGTGGGCAGAATAAATAAACAATGAGTGACTTCAAAAATATGAAGAAGGGCTTCAAAGATATAATCACATCTCATTTTATTCACTCACAGAATAAATGTTGCTGTTGTAATTTATATTAGATCATAAAATATCCTATGTTGTTACTCAATGCTTTTGCACTGATTTTGATTAATCCATGAATAAAAGACAGGAAGCAGTTTTGAAACACTAATTTAGAGTTGAAAAAAACTCACCTTACATCAAAGTGCATATTCTGCGCTCCAGGGGCAGAAAAATATTTGTGGAAATTATTAAAAAATGGACATTATAATATTTGATTTATAATTTGGAGTTATCTAAATTATTTTCATGACCCGAGGAGAAATTTCACTTGGTGATAATAAATTTTCTAGGAAGTTTTATTGACAATTATTCTATTTCAGGAGTTCTTTGAAGCAATCAGCTTTATCTTGATCCATATTTTATGATCTGATATAAATTACAACAGCAACATTTATTCTGTGAGTGAATAAAATGAGATGTGATTATATCTTTGAAGCCCTTCTTCATATTTTTGAAGTCACTCATTGTTTATTTATTTAGTTATACAGGGTCAGTATTGAGAGGAAAGATAATAGCCCAAGTTATACAGAATGACCCCATTATAATGGGGTCGTTTGGGTCCATTAACTTAAGATGCTACGTTATAACAAGGTGTATTGTCAAAATGGCCATGGCGACTGACGTCAGCGGTGTCAGATGCTGGGCTGACCAAAAATAACACGGTGAGAGGCGGGGGGGGGGGGGAACAACAACAACAAAATTACATTTGTTTAGTGCCTTTCACATTGGGAGGACGTCCCAAGGTGCTGGACAATCAGTGTTTTGGACCCAAGCTGGGGGTTAGGATCAGGAAGGATGGAGGGCAGGGGGGATGGAGGGTGACCAAAGGCACGGTCGAAGAGAAGAGTCTTGAGACGGGTCTCGAAGGAGGCAAAGGAGAAGTCGAAGCGAAGGGACTGCAGGATGGAGTTCCAGAGATTGGGGCAGAGTGGCAGAAGGCATGCTCACCAATGGTGGGGCAGGCGAGGTGGGGACGTGAAGCAGGCTGGAGTGCACTGAGCAGAGGGACTGGGCAGATGGCATGGATGTGGGGTAGAAATGACGAGGGTCAAACAAGACACCAAGTTTCTGGACTGGCTTTGTAACGTGGAATGTGCATCCTTGGATGGTGATTCTGTCAGTGCCTAAGATATGGAGGCGCTGACGGGAGCCAATCAGGAGAACCTCGGTCTTGTTGACGTTCAACTGTAGAAACCTAATTTATCTTTGACAAATTAGGTTGAGCTCTCTCAAAGGACAATTGTAGATATTCTCTTCAATTGTTTCATTCCTGATCTAAAGATCAATATGCAGTTACAGCCATTTTAAATTTCAAAACTATTAGTTTTTTTAAAAAAAAGAAAACGTTACCTGATTTGACATTTTTATAAATTAGGCAGACTTTGCCATTCCCATTGCAAGAATCCAGCTCAAATATTCGACTATCTGAGCCAAAACGTGGCTTCTCTGAAGCACCTTCAGTTCCTTTTAAAACAAAATGATTAAAAGTTTTTTTAAATACAATCTTTCGTATTATACTACAATACCAATCCTATGTCATAAATGTCATCAGTAGAAACCTTGCATGTATGGATGAGGAAAGGAGACAAATAAAGCCCTCCCCCAGATGTGACTTTGATTAGGGCTGTCTTGGTGCTACGTCCAGGGTGGAAACCAGATTGGAGGGACTCATATAGAAAGCAGTGGGAAAGGAAGTAATGGAGCTGGAAGGCAACAACACATTCTAACACTTTGGAGAGGAATGGCAGGTTGGAGATAGGTGATAACTAGAGAGGTTGATGTCTTTGGCGAGTAGGGGTTGAGAAGGAGCAATTGAATGCAGCATAGTTAGTCATTTTCTACTAATTCACCAAAGTGGAAATAGATTAGTTGGTGCCAATTGATAGCATTAAATAACCGATGGTTTACTTAAAAAATGGAAAATGAAATTTTATACTGTAGGTAATAGCATTAACTCTAATGAAAATATTGCAACTAAAAGTTCAAACTTTAATCCTTATTTTATGGACATTACAGACCTTCATCATCTGTATCATCTTCTATATCAGCCAGCGTGGGTGCATTGGGTAGAGAGTAAACAGATGCTGCACCTAACCGAGTGAGTTTGGATATACTGTTTATCACCATTGATCCCAACTCCATGACACTGCCTAGGAGAAAGAGAGAAATACTGTATTAAAATAAACAAATAATACTAGATAGATTTTTGGTAAAGAATTAGCTGAGGCATCCAAAAAGCATCACAATGTATTCTATGGAATTATAAAAATTATAGTAGAAGAGATAATTTGGTCTACAGAGCTGTGCTAGCTTCTCCATTGGGAATTGGGGTAATAATAATCCTTACATATCAATTTCCATATCAACAACTTGAGCACGAAATTCATTTGGAGCAACACCCTAACTAAAATCCTATTCTGATTAACCTGGAGCTGAACACTATTTGGGGCGTCCTCCCGATGTAAAAGGTGCTATATAAATACAATTTGTTATTGTTAAATATCTGTCACAGGGGATGTAAATTTGCCAATTTCTGTGACAGTCATCTTCTCAGCCAGGACACGATTGGCTGTGGACAAAACAAAAATTGCAAATCCGGTTAGATATTGACAAATGTAACCATGGAATCTGGTGCAGAGATGCTATATTTTCAACTATTTGAACAGTGCGATCCTGGATAAATTCCCTGGCTCACCAGCTTGCATTCCCGCATTTGCTAATTTCAATTATCCACTGGAAGTTGGACAAAGGGCCACCCTGTACTCTTCTCCCTATGAAAGTAACCAAATGGTTGTTGACATAAGGGACATAGAAAAGGTTACAACAGGACAAAAAGGCCATTCGGCCCAACCTAGCTGCTCTTTGATTGATCACAAACTATCTTTCTATGGTATTCATTTATAGCATTTGTTCTTTCTCCAAAAGAAAATATCATCTCTTGAACCTATTTTGTGCTACTTGTTTAAATGGCCTTCTTTGGTTATTAATCCATACATCTTTGTATGCTGTGGGTCTCGCTGAACTCCCTATTTACTCAGAATTTCCTAATGTTTGAAACCTCCAGCAGTGTAAGCAATTTGTTTGGATCAACATCATTAATCCTCTTCATAATTATGAAAACTTCCATTAGTTTACCTTGACTTGCTCAAATAATTGGTCCTTAATAATGATAACTGTTTGATCTTTTGACTTTGAAGTATTTTAGTCACTAACTAAACAGCCTCAAAATAGCTTCAGCTCCACACAGACATGATAGTCATTTGATCACTTAAATTTTAAATATTGTAATCCCAAATAAACAACTTCAAGATCACTCTCATATTGCAAGAAAATTCCGCAGCTTTCAGTAAGCTAATTGGTCGACTTGGTAGCTTCAGCTTTTGAAGTTAAAAGTTCAACTGGTTCACTCCTTGTAGTAAATTTATGCAATACTTTTAACTAATCAATAATGCAAAGACCTCATAATTTGACACACAAGTTTAAATAGAGTGCTGCTTATCCATTCTTTCAGTCGGGATCAATGCACAACATCAATGTCACTGCTTGTACGCTGTGCATGCACACTATGTGTAGGAAGTGCCGCTGATATCACTTCGTTGGAAAGTAACATTAGCACTGTTTCCTGTGCATTTTCAGCAAGCAGTAAGTGACATCAACGCGAAGATATTTTAATCATATTTTAACATGCAAGAAATAATCTGGTTTGTGTGCCAAAGTGAAACAGGGAATTTACCTTATAAACTTACCTTATAAACAAGCCTGCCTAATAAGGGGGTACCTTATAACAGGAGTAGCCCAGCAGTTCATTATTATTTATACTGTCAAAGCCTTGCATTATCTTAAACACCATTATAGCATTCTTAACTTTCTCTTCTGCAACAGTAAGAATTTTATAATAATCCTTGCATTTGATATAGCGCTTTTCACGTCGGGAGGACGTCCCAAAGCGCTTCACAGAACACACTGTAAAGTGAATTGACTGTATATTTGTGGGCGAACGCGGCAGCCAATTGCGCACAACAATGTCCCACAAACAGTCGTAGATTGAAAATGACCAATTTATTATTGTTTTTGGTTTTGGAGGGATTATTATTAGGCGTGTGGAGTAAGGAAACTTGCCCAAGGTTTCGCCCTCTGCCTGGAATTGAACTCAGGTCTCTCGCTTGCAAAGCGAGTGCTCTAACCACTGAGCTACAGGACTCCACAATTTTAACCTCTGCAGTTCTCCTCATAGCTATAACCATTCCTCTCATATTATCCTTGTGAATCTACACTGTATATTTTCTACATAGCTCAAGTATCCTTTCGATAAGGTGGTGCCCCAAACTGTACATATTTACATACAAATACATTAAAAATCCAAGAAGAATCTGTCGCCTGCCTTTTTCCCTCTTCTCCACCCAAAAAGCTGCAGGTTCTAATCTCATTCTGAAATGAGCGAGCTGATATCAACCAGGGAGGTGATAAAGGGGCTACAATTACCCTAGGGTTAGCCAGACTTAACCAACATCTTATAAAGATTCATCACCTCTTCCTTACTCTTGAATTTAATATAAATCCCCAAATCCTGTTTGCCCTTTTATAGGCTTTCTCTACCTGTAATCTCACTTTAATAATCTATATTCTCAGGCTTTTTTGTGATAAAACCGTAAAACATTACACAAATACATTTTTGACAAGATAAATAGAGTAGGCACTAGACTCACTACATATACAGCATAAACTAGTTCACTTTACCATCAAACCTAATGCTCCAGGTCATCAGAAAGCCATCTGACATCAGATAAAAATTTCTCAGGTCTTCTGGGATTATGCAACAATTCTTCTGCAATCACAAACATATTTACAATGACTCTGATGCAGACATCAACACAGATTATGGTGGACCTTAACTGTTAACCAAATTATTGCACAAGATCATAGGTTGTGTGAAGAGGCCTTTTGGCCCATTTAACTTCATCCTTCTCAATATAAATCAAGTGGTTTCTTAAATGAAGTCTGTATTAAAGAATAATAACATAACAACATAAGAAATACTGGATGAAAAAAGACCAAGGTCCATCTAGTTGGCCTTCCACTTTCCTGGCAGTCACATGCATATATACTAATAATCCTTGCATTTGATATTACGCTTTTCATGTCTTCTAGATGTCTCAAAGCACTTCACAGAATATACTTGTGGGCGAAATGCGGCAGCTAATTTGGCACAGTAGTGTCCCACAAACAGTCGTGAATTTTTTTTTTTTTAAAAAGGATTATTATCCCCGGAAAAGTGACTTGCCAATGGACTAACAACCAGCTTCGTACTTACTGCTACATAAACAGAGGCGTGTGGAGTAAGGAAACTTGCCCAACATTTTGCCCTGCCGGGAATAGACCCCAGGTCTCGCAAGGTGAGTACTCTAACCACTGAACTACAGGACTCCATATGTCCCAAACTACTATATCCCATAAGTATTTGCTGTGTTGATAATAGATCAGATCTTTTAAATTAAAAGCAAAAACCTTATGCTTGGTGCCAGCTAACTCATATTCCAACATATACTATATTTTGTGTGTACAGTGTGACTGACCTAGATCCAACCCTGTAAAATAATTAGTAATGATATTTACATTATATTATATTTACCATTCCATAATGGTATCAGGAATAACAGAGAACAAGTTTTGCCAACAAAACTACAGTGGGAATATTCTAAAACTCAATAGAAAAAGACTATATATTCTAAACAAAATGTTTGAAGTGTATTGACGGCAAGTACAGTCTTGGGGGAAACAGATGACTATATAAACTGCTTGCCATCATCCAAATTCCTGAAGGCTTGCAACATTCATCATTTATTCCCTACATCAAAAACTCCTTTATTTTCCAATTGATAGATACAGAAATACATTAGGCTGGACTTAAATTGACTTATGTTACAAAAATACTTTATTTCTTTGGACCTAAAATAAAACCATTTGGAGTTGAGTGTACTGAATGTCAAACTAACTTTTAAGATAGTGTGACAAATATATAAATGTAGTGCAGTGCATTCCCAAATGACAAAGAATGAAGAATTGATTCTATGTTAACAGTTCATTTTCACAGAATTCAAAGGCAAAATATATTGAGTGCTAACTACAATCTGATAGCTATATGCATCGGGGACCATCTTAGATTTACAATCGCCTCACAGCAAAAAACATATACTGAAGCCTAACTTATTGCGATAGTTGGAGCACTAAAAAGTCAGTTCTTATAATAGTATCATCAAGTGTTATATATTGTAGTTAACATTAACAATTCCTGTCCCACCAATAGAAATGATTAATTGTTGAGATAAACATCAATTCTATTCTGATCCTTTTGAGAAATGTTAAAATACATGGGACCAGCCCTTGGAAGCAATACTTTGTTTTGTTTATTTTAATTTAAAACTACGGAATGGATCACATTAATCACCAAGCTGCATACATTGAACGAGTCTTCATTTATCTCTCAGTTGCCAGATATGAAAGAAGTATTTTCCAATTTTTCATTTATACATGAAAACCAACAACTACAATCTTTGATGGTACCTTTGTATTCCTCATTTGATTGATGATAAAAGGATGAAGAGCTGGGTGGAATACTGTGGGGTTTGAACCTTTAATACTGCTCTTTGGAATGTGTGACAAGCCTCTTCAGCCTTTTATTGCAGTTTGTTTCAAACAGGCTATTTTAAGATTTAAAAATATATATATATACATACAGCTCCGCAGACAAAATTCAAAACTCCGTCAGCTGGATACACACGCATACAAAACCCCATCACACCGGTCCTTACCAGGCTCCACTAGCTCACAATTACTGAACGGATTGATTTCAAGACCCTCTCACTCGTTTTCACATCTCTTCATGGCCTTGCACCTCCCTACCTATCCGATTTGCTTATCCCCCACTCCACCACCCTCTGCCTGCGCACGGCTGGCTTCAGCCTCCTGTTCATCCTTCATCCCCTCTGCTCCACCATCGGTGCCTTCAGTCATTACGCCCCAAAATTCTGGAACTCTCTCTCCCTCAATCCCTCCGCCTTGACCCCTCCCTCCCCATTCTCAAATGCCACCTAAAGACCTTTCTTTTTGATTGCATTTACGGTCACCTGCCCCCTCCTTCTCCCCCTGGCTTGGTGTCAGACCAAGCGCTCTGGGACGCTACCCTGCCCAAAGGGCGCTATATAAATGTAAGTTGCTATTGCTCATTTTAAATGAATCCTTGTGATAAAATATTATATATATTTGTGTCACTATCATTGGTCAAAATGAATTTGTTTCATGTAACTAGGACATCAAATTTAACTAAAAGTTCTTGGATCAGAATAACTGTGGTGCATTGTTGGATATTTCTCTTGAATGCAAGAGTCTAGGTAATCTAGATCCATTATTAAAAAATACTGATAAAATAATGCATATTTTATGAAGCAGTCAAGAGAGGCAATATGTGGAACTTGCCCTATATGGGTTACTGTAACCAGCAACTTCAAAAGGATTGAAGGACACACGGTTGAAAGTCAATTTAAATCTAAATTGGAAATAGAATCATAGAAATTTACAACATAAAAGGAGGCCATTCAGCCCATCGAGTCTCCACCGACTCTCAGATCAAGCTGTTCATTCACATACACATTCAATTAAATATTAAATGAAAATTAAATGGTCTAAAACTATATCAACCATTCATTAAAATCTCAACTACTGTTTTTGGAATGGGTAAATACACAAAAGCAGAAAGGTCAGAACAACAAAGTTGGTTAAAGTGTTCTGTAATGAAGACAGTTAAGCAACAGAATTAATTTCTTCAGTCCAAAGTTTTTAAAAAAGTTATTAAGGTTGTTTATGACTAGTAATACTTTCTGCTGTTCCGTATAAATAATTGAATGTATTATGATTTTTACTGTAGATTGTCAACACAATACGCTCCTCTGACTAGTGTTGAAGACATAAAGCAGCTCATAGAAAGTAGGTATTAAGAGGAAAATCAAAGGTAGGCTAGTTGTTTTTCAGATCTGAAGCCAAAACGATTTCTCACCTGTTCCCATGAGATGATCATATGACGTTCTGCTGGTTCGTTTTCCATGAATCTCACTTCTGCCACACCTGGTCGACTTTCTACAACGAACATCAAAAAGGGATATCTTTGAGTTCTCAAAATATTATGATAGTTTGTTTGCCTTACTGCTATTTATGTTGACCAATCTTCTCCCTTCCTTTGAAGCTGTGAGTCTTCTCTTCGACCGTGCCTTTGGTCTCCCTCCCACCTCTCTGCCTTCCCTCACCCCTACACCACCATGCTCGGGCCCCGACACCTGACTGTACAGCACTTTGGGACGTCCTTCCGGCATGAAAGGCGCTCTATAAATGTAATCTTGTTGTTGTTGGGTAAGATTTCGTGGACAGTGTTTGTCCTCGCCTAACTTTTGGTTCTTCTTAGCCTAGAGTTTCTCTAGATGGGCTGTTTGTCCATGAGGGATGTAGAGAGTCAAAATATCCCAACTACTGTATTGGGAATGGGTAAATAGATGCTCATTTTCCAACAGATATCATTACCTAGCAATAAAGATTGCTAGCCTACGATTAGGCCAATTGGAAGCATTTGAACTGCTGCCAAACTTGTGATCACCTAACAACACAGAAAATCAAACTTGTAGCTCTCTGGTCTGTATGGTTTAGCGCTACACAGGATAGTGTCTTTACTAACTAGGCCGCAGAAGAAGCCATTACCTCCATATAAGCTGGTGCTATCTGCATTCACATCACCTTTCTTAACAAATTCACATATTTACACTCAAATTTCTAAATTTTTTATTTAATCTTTATTGACAAACTTTTAAATGAATTTCAGTGCATAGCCAATAGCATCCCAAAAAAGATAGCAACTTCTTTGTTTCACAACCTCAGACAGTGCTTCGAACAGTGCCAGGGATCTTTAACATCCACCCGAAACGGTAGGCGGGTCCTCGGTTTAATGTCTCATCCAAAGGAATGGCACCTCCGACAACGCAGTATTACCCCTGCATTGCACTGCAATGTCATCTTAGATCAGGGTAGTCTAACCTTTTGGCTGCTGAGGGCCAGATGCCCCATTTGAGAAATGTCCATGGCGGCCGCATAAGCAATAGTTTTGTGTTTCCCTTCCAAAAACATGACATTTATGGATTATGGAGGGAGCCGGTGGGCTAGATTAAATCGGCCCGCAGGCTGCCAGTTGGTTCACCCTGGCCGAGACAATGAGCTCAAAGTCCCAACATGAAGTTGAACACACAACCTTCTGACTCAGATATGAGAGAGCTAAGTGCTCCTCCCGACGTGAAAGGCGCTTTACAAATGTAAATTCAATAATTCAATAAACGTACCTTTCATTCTCCAAGTTATAAATTACTTTCTTGCACACTATTCAATTTTTCTTCTGATATTATACATTTACGGTAATTAAAAGGGACATTATCTTTTCCTTAAATTATCATGAAATAATGAAACGCTGTGGTACATTTTTAGAACACTATTAATTGTGATACAACATCAGTTTTTATGTGTGCCCTGTTAAAATCTTTGAAAAGAATGAAAAATCTTACTGCATGACAAGGAAAACATATTTTCTCTTCTCTATATTAGATAGCACAATCTGTTAGTCAGGTACAGTTGTAAGGAAAATATCTATGAATATCAATTCTGGTGATTGTTGGCACAGAAGAAGTTGGTGAAATTGTACTGAACTGCATGATGTACCCCTTAAATCTCTTGAAGGTTAAATGAACATGTAATTCGCATGTGCATGAAATAACATTATGATGCAACTAATTTTCAAATGATGACAAAGAATTTACAAAAGAAAAAGCAACCTTTTATTATAAAAGTTATAATTAATAAAGATTCAACTTTTACAAAAAGGCATCAACCTGGCTCAGTCGGTAGCACTCTCACTCCGAGTCAGACGTTTGTAGGTTCAAGACCTATGTTGGGACTTTAACTCAGTCTAATCTGATACTTTAGTGCAGTGCTGGGGGTGCTTTGTTGCCTCTAACGGTTTCTCCTCCACCCCCCGCACTGTCACATCTGGTGTCCTCCAGGGCTCTGTTCTTGGCCCTCTCCTCTTTAACATCTACATGCTCCCCTTTGGTGACATCATCTGCAGACATGGGGTCAACTTCCATATGTATGTGGATGACACCCAACTCTATCTTTCTGCCTCCACCCTCAACTCCAGGACCACTGCTGTCCTGTCAGACATCAAGTCCTGGATGAGGGCAAATTTCCTACAGTTGAATGTGAACAAGACTGAGGCCCTCCTGATTGGCTCGTGCCAGCGCCTCAGCACCTCAGGCTCTGGCAGCCTCAACCTCCATGGTTGCACACGACAACTCACCAAGCCAGTCAGGAACCTCGGTGTCTTGTTCGACCTTCAGCTGTCTTTTCTTCCCCACATCCAAGCCATGACCCGCTCTGCCTTCCCTCACCTCCATAACATCGCCCGACTCCGCCACTACCTCACCCCTCAGGCTACTGAAACTCTTGTTCATGCTTTCATCATCTCCAGGCTCGACTATGCAAACCCCCTGCTTGTCGGCCTTCCCAACTCCTCCCTCCACAGGCTGCAGATAATCCAGAACTCTGCAGCCCCTCTCCTCTCCCTCACCAAACTCTGCGACCCCATCTCCCCCCGACTCCATCGGCTCCCTATCCTTCAGAGGATCCAGTTAAAGATCCTGGTCCTCACCTACAAAGCCCTCCATGACCTCACCCCACCCTACCTAGAGTCCTGTAGCTCAGTGGTTAGAGCACTCGCTTTGCAAGCGAGACACCTGGGTTTCAGTCAGGGTGAAACCTTGGGCAAGTTTGCTTACTCCACACAGAGCCTAATAATAATCCCTCCAAAACCAAAACCAATAATAAATTGGTCATTTTCAATCTACGACTGTTTGTGGGACATTGCTGTGCGCAATTGGCTGCCGCGTTCACCCACAAATATACAGTCAATTCGCTTTACAGTGTTTTCTGTGAAGCGCTTTGGGACGTCCTCCCGACGTGAAAAGCGCTTCATCAAATGCAAGGATTATTATTATTATTATGTGGCGCCTCATCGAGTCGCGGAGGCGTCTCAAAGCGTTTCCCTGGAACTAATTTACCGCGAGGTGGAGTGACTGTGTATTTTGCGGGGACATACCCAACCCTTTGCATTTCGGACACACCCACCAGGTAGGTAGGTAGGTAGGTGTGTATGTGGTTCTGGGAGGGAGGGAGGGAGGGGGGCAGTGCCTCAGACGTAAGTTAAAAGGCGCTTCACCTTCACCATGGCAACGGTCAGAGGCCTCTCCCGGCTAAACCGCCACTCACTCACCTAACACCTTGGTGACACCGAGCGTCAACCGGTCCACGAAATCTTTCATTTTAGTAGTTTTATTGTCTTCCATCTTTAGCGCGGGACCCGACCCGACCACCTTCTTTCTCTTCTTTTCACTCTCACAGCTCGTTTATTTTTTTTTTTTTGGGGGGGGGGGAAATCAAACAGAATAATGTTCGAACTGGGGAAGAGCCTCCGACTCCGCTCTCCCCGAACCGCAGGGGCATAATGGGGGGAGGGGGGAGGGAGGGTGTGGAGAAAGGGTTATGCGTCAAACGGCAAGCGAAGCATGTCGGGAATTGTAGTGTTGCTGAGGGGACGCACCCCTCCCCCGTTGCACGGCGACCGTCGGCGCGGCTGTGCGAAGTAAACTACAACTCCCGGGGTGCAATTCGCGCGGCGCGGCTTCGCATTTGCCCAACGGTCGAGCCGCGCGCCCGGAGTCAGAAGGTGGGAGGCGGAGAAAAGTATGATGCGCATGCGCAGACGTGGGGGGGTGGGCGGGTGGGTCAGGGTTGTGTACGCGGATGCGTGAAACGGTGGGCGGGGTCTGGCGCGAGGGGGCATCCAGGGGGAAAAGAGGCGGGATTAACGGTCCGTGCAGTCGACGTCGCCAGGTTGGGCGGTTTTCTCGCCCAATTGGGCGGGTTTTGATGCACGGTGCGTGAAAAAAAAACCGCGTCGGGCGGGCGACTAACTTTTTCTTTCCGAAAAAAATATCTTGAAACGTCCAAAAACGCTTCTTTTTTCACCCTCCCCAATTGAAGACATTTTTTTTTCTCTAAGCACCGAAACCCTCAATCGGCGGCCTTCCCTCCACTCCCAATTTAAAAAAAAAGGGCGACGGGTAATATCGGGCTACTTATTGGGCTGGTTTTGGTTGGGCGTTGGGCTATGAACCGCGGAGGCTGCGGGGCGGGCGGTGGGGCGGCGGCAGCAGCAGCAACGGCGGTTGTTCAAAGATGGCGAAGGCGGGGCCGCCGCCGCCGTCGTCGGTGAGCGGAGCTTTCTGGAGCGCGGACGGTATCCTTGAGGCCGAGCGGTGCGACGGTAAACTGAGCCGCGTTTGCGAAACAAAAAGAGAAGAGAGGAGAGAGAGAGAGGGAAGGAAGGGAGGGAGGAAGGGGAGTGGGGGGGGAAAGTAGTGGAGTGTGTGTAGAGGAGGGCGTCGTGTCACGTTGGGGGGGAATCAGCCCCTCCGTTGGTGTGGAGGAGACCCTTCTTGTCAGTCACTCGGGGTCGTCGCCCCCCCCCCCCCTCCCAAAGAAAAAAGTAGTGGTGGGAGGGGGGGGGGAGTGCAAAGATTGTTCCAGGCCCTCAATCTTGTGTGTAAGGGCAGATTATATATATTTTTTTGGGGTGTGATTGATTCTTTCTCTCCCCTCCCCTCCCTCCTACCCACCCAACTTTTTTTTTTACCCCCCACCCCCCCCCACTCAAGAAAAAAACTCACACCGGTACCATTTCAACGAAATAATACAATACTATACGATCCTCGCATTCGATGCGGCGCTTTTCGCGCCCCCCTCCTCCCCCTCTTCCCCCCCCACCCCCCCCGACGTCTCAAGAGCGCTTCGCGGTCAGGGTAAAGGCTGTCAAGTGAGCTGACCGTCTATTTGCGGGCGAAAATCGCTTAATAACGGTGACGGCGGTCGACTTCGCACTCGATGGAGCGCCGTATCACATCGCCGAGACGTCTCAAAGCGCTGCGCGGAATATACTGCGCAGGGATTTTTTCGGGGGGTGGGGGATGGGGTGAAAGTGTTGCGTGTTTAGGTCAGTGATTTCTTAACATGTTCCTTAGCTGCTTTTTTTTTGTAGAATTAAAAAAAGCCTTCCTCCCCCCCACCGCGCCCCCACCGACCAGTGGGTTGCAACTTAACGCAAAGTATTGTGTTGATGCAGCTTTTAGGAAGCCATGGTTCGGTTGCTCTGGTTACAGATGCTTGCACAGGAGTGGTGGCGTCTTGTGTCAATAGAGCTGCCAGATTCGAGGATTTGCAGATGTGTTTGTTTCTTCATTTAAAAAGTAAACTGCTCGTTTACTTTCCAAATCATGTGAGTCTCTATTGCCTACAAAAATACAGTCACTACACTGAATCCTGTGCAGTGCTTTGGGATGGTTTCCTGACATGAAAGACGCTGTATTAAATGCAGGCTGTATCAAACATTATTATTTTATACTGTAATAAGTTGCATTTTAATGCCAGAAATTACTCTAAAAGGATGAATTGGCAGGCCTGTGTACCAGATTTATGTAAAATTACGACAACAACATCAACAAGATTCCATTTATAGAGCGCCTTTCACGTCGGGAGGACTTCCCAAGGCGCTGTACAGGGTCAGGACCCGAGCAGTGGGGGAAATGGTCAGGGTGAGGGGAGGGAAGGGAGGGAGCGAGGAGGGGGTAGAGAGTCGAGAGGGGAGCTGAAGGCACGGTCAAAGAGAAAGGTCTTGAGACCGGCCTTGAAGGAGGAAAGGGAGGAGGTGGCGAAGGCACTGGGGGATGGAGTTCCAGAGCCTCGGGGCTGAGAGGCTGAAGGCCCGGCCACCGATGGTAGGGCGGTTGGGGCGGGGGATGTGGAGCAGACCGGAGCCAGAGGAACGGAGGGTACGGGCAGGTAGGTAGGGGGATAGTAGGTCGGAGAGGTAGGAGGGAGCAAGGCCGTGAATGGCCTTGTAGGTGAGGATGAGGATCTTGAATTCGATCCTCTGGGGGATGGGGAGCCAGTGGAGGCGAGCGAGGGTGGGAGTGATGTGGTCCCGAAGCCTGGTGCGGGACAGTACACGAGCTGCAGAGTTCTGAATGACCTGCAGCTTGTGGAGGGAGGTGCCGGGAAGGCCGGCGAGGAGAGAGTTCCCATAGTCCAGCCTTGAGGTGACAAAGGCGTGGACCAGAGTTTCAGCAGCGTGAGGGGTGAGGTAGTGCCGTAGTCTGGCGATGTTCCGGAGGTGATGGAAGGCGGTGCCAGTTGTGGTGCGGATATGAGGGAGAAAGGACAGCTCAGGGTCGAACAGAACGCCGAGGTTCCTGACTGGCTTTGAGAGGTGGAGAGTGCAGCCTTGGATGCTGATGCTGTCAGCGCCTGAGGTGCGGAGGCGCTGACGTGAGCCAATCAGGAGGGCCTCAGTTTTTCGCACGTTGAGCTGAAGAAAGTTGTCTCTCGTCCAGGACTCGATGTCGGACAGGCAGCTGTCAGGACATCGGTGGTCGTGGAGTTGAGGTAGAGGAGGAAAGGTAGAGTTGGGTGTCATCCGCATACATGTGGAAGTTAACCCCATGTCTGCGGATGATGTCACCGAGGGGGAGCATATAGAGGGTGAAGAGGAGGGGACCGAGGACAGAGCCCTGAGGGACACCGCACGAGACAGTGCGGGCGGAGGAAAAGCCATTCGTGGAAACAAAGTGAAGACGGTGGGAAAGGTACGACCTAAACCACTCAAGGACAGGGCCTTGAAGGTTGAGGTGGGAGGACAAGCGGTGGAGGAGGATAGCGTGGTCGACCGTATCGAATGCTGCCGATAGGTCGAGGAGGACGAGGAGGCAGAGGGAGCCCTGGTCACAGATGGTCAGGATGTCATTGGTGACCTTGACCAGGGCAGTTTCTGTGCTATGGGCAGCACGGAAACCTGACTGAAGGGGTTCGAATAATGAATGGGTGGAGAGGAAAGAGCGCAGCTGGGAGGCGACAACTCGTTCCAGGACCTTGGACAGGAAGGGGAGGTTGGAGATGGGCCGGTAGCTTGATAGCTGCGACGCATCAAGGGAGGGTTTTTTCAAGGTGGGAGTGATGGTGGCAGTTTTTAAGGGAATGGGAACAGAGCCAGAGGAGAGGGACAGGTTGACGATGTCTGTGATATGTGGGGCAAGGAGGTGGAGCTGGGAGATAAGGAGTGGAGTGGGGATGGGGTCAAGGGAGCAGGTGGTGGGTTTCAGGGATAGGATGAGTTTGGTGACAGAGGGTGGGGAAACGGGTACGAAAGTGTGTAGGGGAGGATGGGTAGGAGTCGGAGTGTGGGAGGGAGGAGGTGGGGGGTTGGGTGGATGTTGGAGGGAAAGTGACCGCGGAGCGAATTCCCTTGATTTTGGATTCAAGGAAATCCAGCATCTCCTCGCAGTGAAGGTTGGAGGAGATGACCTGCGCGGGGTGGTGGGGGGGACGGAGGAGTCGGGATGTGGTAGAAAACAGTAGCCTGGGGTTGTTCTTCGCCTCCAGGATTATCCTGGAGTAGAAGGACGACTTGGCCGAGGCTAGAGTGGAGCGGTAGATTTTGAGGAGGTCCAGCCAGATTTGTCGGTGGACCGTTAGGCCAGATTTGACGCAGGTGCGTTCAGCGGCCCGCACCTGGCTTTTCAGTGAGCGGAGGTGGGTGGTGTACCAGGGGGAGGAGCGAGAGTAGGAGACAGTACGGGAGGTGATGGGGGCAAGAGTATCGAGTGTGGAGGAGAGGGTGTTGTGGAGGAGGTTGAGAGGAGAAGAGGGGTCAGTGAGGGTTGAAGGCCAGAGGGAGAGGAGTTCAGAGGACTCCAAGGCAGCGGTTAGGGATTGTGGGGGTAACTTCTTCCAGGGGCGGTAGAAGATGGTGGTGGGTCTGGTGGAGGTGGGGAGGGGGGTGGAGGTGGTGAAGGAGATGAAGTGGTGGTCGGAGACGGCCTTGTCGGTGATAGTGACATCCGAGACACTGAGGCCCCGGGTGATCACCAAGTCGAGTGGGTGGCCGTGACTGTGAGTGGGGGAGTTGATGTGGAGGGAGAGGTTGAGCGAGGAGAGCAGGGAAGAGAAGTCTGAGGAGATGGAGCAGGAGGGGGTGAAGTGCAGGTTGAAATCGCCCAGGATGATGAGGCGAGCAGAGGCAGGGAGATGTAAGAAGTGTCAAAATATCGGAGATGAAGGTGGGAGAGGTTTTAGGGGGCCGGTAGAGGAGGAGGATTTTGAGCGAGAGGAAGGAGGGGTGGGAGAGGGTGAGGTGCTCGAAAGAGGGGAAAGAGCCAGAGGAGTAGGAGGATAGGGCAAGTGGTGTCCTTGAGATAAGGGCTACACCACCGCCACGGCGGTTGAGGCGAGGGATGTGGTGGGAGGTGTAGCCGGGTGGTGTGGCCTCCGTGAGGGGGAAGGTGTCGCCTGGGGTGAGCCAGGTTTCTGTTAAGGCCATGATGTCAACGTTCTCATCAAGGATGAGATCGTTGATGACCAGGGCCTTGTTACAGAGGGAGCGGACGTTTTGTAGTCCGATGTGGAGGGAGCGGTTGACAGAAGGGTGTGTGGGAGGGGTGGGGGGTCCAGGTTGTGAGGCAGGGGTGGGGAAAATGGGGATAAGGGAGGAGAGGTTGACTCCCCGGGTCTGTGTCCGGGGTGGCTGGTGAGTGTGGTGGGGAATGGGGCAGTCGGTGCGGCTGCTGCTGGACAGCCAACGCCGAGTGCCACGGTGAGTGCGGCGGAGGATTCCCAGGCTGGAGCAGAGGAAGGTTTCAGGAGGGTCAAGTGGGGATAGAAGGCAAGAGGGACGGAGAGAGAGGAGGACAGAGCGGGAGAGATACAGAGGGGGGAGGGTTTGGGGGTAGAGAGAAGGGAGGGAGGGGGTGAGGGGGCTCGGGTCAAAGCGGCAGCCATAGTGTGCACGCGGGGACCGGGAGCGAGCGGTCAGGTGGATGGCATTATCCCATGACCTTTAATCCTGAGACTATGACCTCAAGTTTTAGATTCTCCAAACAGGGGAAACAGTCTCCTACTATCTACCCTTTCAAGACCCTTAAAATCTTATAGGTTTCTATAAGATCATCTCTAATTCTTCTATATTCTCGACCAAATTAGCTTTGGTCGCTTTCACTTGGTCAGTGTAAGTCACAGGAATCCGAATCCACACAAATCCATATTTTGACTATTATTGTGAGTATTGTGGTAAAATTAAAATGCTAACTAGTGAGTTGGGGGAACTGGTTGAGACTTGATAAATATGGAACTTTATCTCTACACTACTTAACTTTAGAAATGGGAAATTGCTGCACTGGCAAGTAGCACAGATGTCTTCTATAAAATTTGCACATTGTGCCTGTAATGCTCCCTTATTGAAGCTATTTATACAGTCAATTCACGTTACAGTATACGCTGAAGTGCTATGAGATACCTCGAAGATGTGATAAGGCGCTATATCAAATGCAAGTATCTTTTCACACAACTTTTAATAATATTCTGTATGTAACAAACTTTAAAATGCTCATATGGACTCTGTTTCAATAAAAGAACATAAGAAATAGGAGCAGGAGTAGGCCATTCGGCCCTGCCCCGCCATTTAATAAAATCATGGCTGATCTTCTGACCTAATTCCATTTATCCACCCTTTCCCCATATCCATTAATCCCTTTAGTTTTTAAAAATCTATCGATCTCAGTTTGAATATGCTCAATGACTGAGCATCCACAGCCTTCTGGGTATTCCATGAATTCACTGCTCTCGGAGTGAAGAAATGTTTTCTCAACTCAGTTCTAAAGGGCTGACCTTTAATCCTGAGACTATGACCTCTAGTTTTAGATTCTCCAAACAGGGGAAACAGTCTCATACTATCTACCCTTTCAAGACCCTTAAGAATCTTATAGGTTTCTATAAGGTCATCTCTAATTCTTCTATATTCTAGAGAATGTAGGCCTAGTCTATTCAACCTCTCCTCGTAGGTCAACCCCCTCATCCCAGGAACCAACCGAGTGAACGTACGTTGCATCCCCTCTAAGGCGAGTATATCCTTTCTTAGATAAGGAGACCAAAACGGCAGACAATATCCAATTGTGTAAGGCATTCCACATTCTGTGTAAAGAAGTACCTTTTAATCTTGCACCATGTTTTTCTTCTGGTGATTATGTGTTCTTGTGTTACTGATTAATAGATCAGTGAGAACATTTTCAGTTCCAGAGAAAACAGTCCATACTTTAGGTCTTTTCACATAACTAATTTCACATCCCTAGTGAATCTCTGCATCCCTGTGATCTGTTTTCTATAATTGAGTGCTTAAAATTGAACATAATATGTACTCCCACTTGTAGCCAAACCAGTGTCCTGAATAATGTTAACATTACCTCCGTGTTCTTGTATTCGATGCCTCTATTTCATAAAAAAATCTATTTGCTTTATTTGTGGTCTTTTGTATTCGTGCGAACCATTAAAGACCCATGTACAGAATATGCTCTGAGGTCTCTTTGGTCCTCCACTCTACTCTGTTAAACATTCCATTTGTACAGCAACAACTTACATTTATATAGCGCCCTTCACAGAGTGTAGCATTGCGGAGTTCTTGATAGTGGTGGATTCTGACACCGAGTTGGGGGAGAGGGAGGTGACCATAAGCACAATCAAAAAGGAAGGTATTTAGGCGGGATTTGAAAGTGGGGGTGTCGGGGGAGAGCAAACAAGAGATTGAGGGAAGAGAGTTCCAGAGTTTCAGGGCGTAGTGGCTGAAGGCACAGCCACTGATGGTGGAGCAGAGGGGACTTGGTATACTGTATTTTCTTTATCCAATGACATTGTGACTGATAATATCATCCTTACTCCCAGCCGGCTTGAAATTACTTATGGTACAGATCACGGATTGTACCATGTAATATAATATATTGAGTGCACAAACTTCCCTACACAAGCTGCAGACTATCCAGAACTCTGCAGCCCTTGTCCTTTCACGCACCAGGTTCTGCGAGCCTATTCTCGCTTGGCTCCCCATCTCCCAGCTGATCAAATTCAAGATCCTTGTTCTTGCATTCAAATCTTCCTCAATCTTGCCCTGCCCTACCTCTGCGAACTCCACTAACCACGCTGTCCTTCAGTGGTTGGTAGAGATCCCAGAGGAAGGATGGGACAAGCCTGGAGATTTGAAAGCGAACGCTGGCCTGCTTCATGTCCCCCACCATATCTGTTCCATCATCCGGTAACTCATATTCTCTGTCTGCTCGTTCGTCATGTCTCAAATCATACTTTGGTCATCTTTTCCTTTCTTGACATCCAGCACTGGGAAATGCTTTGAGATGTCTTCCAAAATGAAAGGCGATACATAAATAGTATTGTGTGTATGCTCCTACTTACACAAACGCAGAGCTATCTGCTCTAATCGTGTTCCCCTCTTTCCCTGTACCCTAAATATTCAGAATTTATCTACTTCCGTTTTAAATGGAGTCTTCTAGCGTATTGGTTAGAGGGCTTGCCTTGCAAGCGAGAGGATCTGGGTTCGATTCCTGAGCAGGCAAAATGTTAGGCAAGTTTCCTTACTCCACACGCCTCTATTTACCCAGCAATAAATAGGAACCCGGTTGTTGTTCGATTTTCCAGGGGTAATAATCCCCCCCCAAAATAAATAAATAATAATTTGGTCACTCGATCCTTGACTCTTTGTGGGACACTGCTGTGCTGTGCTGTGCCGTGTTTCGCCTACAAAATATATCGTCAATTTGTTTTACAGTATATTCTGTGAAGCGCTTTGAGACATCTCAAAGATGTGATAAGGCGCTATATCGAGTGCAAGGATTATTATAAATGTTATTCAATAGCAACTAATGTTAAGGCATTCTGTACAACATTCTAACAATCTTTGTGGGGGAAAAAACCCTGATCATTCTCTTTTTGAATTTTTGAAGATTTGATAGCTAAAATGGGCTGTTCAACGTGCCTGCTAAGTGCAATGGTTCAAATTTGCATCTTTTCTATTCTCTGCATATTAATATTCAATCAGAAGCCTTTAATGCTTCATTTTTGTTTGGTGTTTGTGTGTGTTTCAGCCTCTTCAGCTTTTGGAAGAAAATGTTGGCTTGTCGGTTGTATGAGTTGTCTTTTTGTACATGTGTGTTTTATTTCTAGAATAAATCATTTATGGACAGGGTCTCTCTGAACCACACGTGCTTGAGGTGGGAAGGCTTGACCCAGAACATTATTTAGCTGTTGAAATACCAAATAACAATGGTATTAAGTATACAATTTCTGTTATTGACAAATTTATCTACTCTGATACTTATATAGTGGTACTGTGGTTTGGTTATATGGCCTTCATACGCAGTCCATTGTGTGTTTATTACATCACTGCCACATCTACATTATGTGGCAACTCAGGAATATAGTGTAAAGACTGTAAACTCCAGAATAACACAGAATTGGCCCATCATATCAATGTTGGTGCTGGCTCCAGAATACTTTCCCTTTTACTCACTAGTCTTAAGGTAAGAAAACTCATAATAATTAAACGTATGGTTTAGTCGAGTCAGAATTCCTAGGAAAATACTAGATTAGCAACTTTGCGATGGCTTGTATGGCTACTGGACTGTACGGGCTACAGTACTGTAGCGTGCATTTTTAACCCAATGTCCTTAGCAGTATTAGTTTAAATCCTGTGGATTTATAATGGTTCCTTTTTACAATGGATGTTACCACAGAAGAAAAAGTAGGCTAATCCTAAATTGATGAAACTAAACTGTATTTTAAAAAAACAAGAGTGTGATTGGCTCTGCACAGAGGCGAGACTGAAGTGTGTCTGTGTATAGTTCCAACAAAAACCTGCATTTATATAGAGCCCCTCACGCAGGGTAGCGTCCCAGAGCGCTTGATGGTTTATGTACATGTTTTATGTTTTATAAGCGCTTCCAAGGTCACCTAGGCATGATAAATAAATATGATGACCATACTCTCCTGTGCTGCTTCTATCTTCTGGTTATAATAATAATAATCCTTCCATTGGATATAGCGTCTTATCACGTCTTTGTCATGTTTCAAAGCACTTCACTGTAAAGTGAATTTACTGTTTTGTGGGTGAAAAGCCGGAGCCAATTGCGCACAGCGGTGTCCCACAAACAGTCATGGATTGAGTGACCGACTTATTATTTATATATTTAATTTTTGAAGGGATTCTTTCCCCCGGAATAACGATCTGCCAATTGATTAACAACTGGGTTCCTACTTACTACTAGGTAAACAGAGATGTGTGGAGTAAGGAAACTTGCCCAAAGTTTTGACCTACCCGGGAATCGAACCCAGGTCCTTTTGCTTGTGAGGCGAGTTCTCTAACCACTAATCTTCAGGACTTTGTTGTGCAAATGTCCTGTTTGAACCCCACCAGTTGATTTGGCAGTAATTTCAATGTTATACTTGTGTTATCCGTTTTTCTTTTCTGGAGGTGTGCGTCTTCGTCTTTGGTTCTGTGCAGCTTCTGCACTAAGTACATGTGTTTTTCTTTACCAATGTTGAACCTAGAATCGGATGAAGAGCAACCAATGGTTTTTGTACCAGGTATGGTTTTCAGAATTACGAGCATTTTATCTTTAGGCACTTTTGTCCTACAATATCTTGTGATCAGTGATTATGAAGCAAATATGTATTGCACTGAGAAATGTGAAGCTTTAGAATAATTATTTGCTATTTGTTTTAAAAAAACTAATTTATAAAGATCTATATTCATCCATTATTGTAGATTGCTGTGGTATGTTCTGAGGACACTTTTTTGTGAGAGGAGTCTAGTGTACAAACTTTGACATAAAAATAAAGTATCGATGCAAGGATTTATCTCTCATCAGAGACGTGGTTCCAGAATGTGTCCACTGTATTTTCCTCCCATCATCTTCAATTAATTGGGTTTAGAATGTCAGGTGCATCAGGAGTTTTTATTTCCCCAATACAGTGGGAGGAACTTTTAGACTTTTCCCTTGCATATGTATATTTAAAGTGACTTTCCTTTAGGGTAGTGCTGCATTGTCGGAGGTGCCATCCTTCGGATGGTTTCTTAAAATTGAGATCCCGTCTGCCTGGGCAGGTAGGCATTGGCATTAAGTATCCCATGGCACTCTTCCAAAATTGTACATAAATAAATTTCTCCTAATGTCCTGCCCAACAATCCTACAGATTAAATTGGTTATTTAATTCATGGCTGTTTGTGGGACATTGTATTCTATTTGGATGCTGAGTTTGCCTACAAGTGCACAGTCACTACACAATGCCTTAAATTCTGCAAAGTGTTTGCAGACTTCATAAGCACTATGTCAAATGCAAGGATTATTATTATTTAAACCTTGATCATTTTACCTTGTATGGATCAATTTAGGCACATTATGGAAATTGCAGTGTCCCATATTGATGATTCTGGATGGTCATTTTGTTGTTGAGAGCTTTCTAACTTTTGGTTAATGTTTTGGGCTTCTTGGCCAAGATAACTGTCTGCAAGCAAAATGTTTCTGTAATTGCAGCTTCTGGTCTACAATCATAGCTGGTGTTTTTTTTGGGGGGGTCTTTCTCAGCTGCAAATCTACTTTGCCTTTCCCTGAATTTGGGATGCTTTTTTAGCAGCAAATCCTGCAATTTTCATTTTAAAGCATGTCCGAATTTGTACAGTGACTGTGTGTGAATTCTAGCCCAACTTTGCATTTGTATTTGTTCTGAACACTACTAGAAGGGCAGGCAGTCATTCACTGTCTGTAATGTCGATTCCTTTTTATTCTTTTAAATGCCTCAATCAGATTGCTCTTCAACCTCCTCAGCCCTTGGGAGTATAATCAGTTTCCCCAATGTCCCAGCATTGAGCTTTCTTTGCTTGATTGAATTGTGGTCAGGGAGGAAATTAATCTTCCTGCGAGTGTTGGTCTGTTCTTTACACCTCTTTCCCCTGCCCTCACTCATCTGCAGGAAATGAACTTGAATTTGGTTCAGTGAGAGGAGCTGACAGAACAAATTAGATGAAGTGAGCTTGATGTGCCGAATAGCCTTTCCTCATTTTGTACTTCATTATTTTTCCTCTATTTGTGTTTTTCCCCCACAACTACTATGTCTGGAAGTTGATGTATAAAGATAAATAATAACAATCCTTGCATTTGATATAGTGCCAGAGCACATCGTGGAGACGTCTCAAAGCGTTTCACAGAATACACTGTAAAGTGAATTGACCGTATATTTTGTGAGCGGAACGTGGCAGCCAATTGCACATAGTAATGTCCGACAAACAGTAGTGGATTGAAGTGACCAATTTATTATTTTTTTCTTGAAAGAATTATTGCCCCCAGAAAAGCGATCTGCCAATTCACTAACAATCAGGTTCCTACTTAGTGCTAGGTAAACAGAGGCATGCGGAGTAAGGAAACTTGCCCACATTTCCCCTGCCGGGAATCAAACCCAGGTCTATCCATTGGCTCCCTATCCTTCAGAGGATCCAGTTCAAGACCCTGGTCCTCAAATACATGGCCTCGCCCCACCCTACCTCTGCAAACTCCTAACCCCCTACCAACCTGCCTGTTCCCTCCACTCAGCCGGCTCCGGCCTGCTCCACGTTCCCCGACCCACCTGCCCCACCATTGGCGGGAGAGCCTTCAGGCACAACACCCCCAACCTCTGGAATTCCATCCCCCAGTCACTCCGCCTCACCCCCTCCTTAGCCCCCTTCAAGTCCCGCCTCAAGACCCTCCTCTTCGACCAGGTCATCGGCCACCCCCCTTCTCCTCCCCCCTGACCCCAGCTCGGGTCTGAAATGCTGTACTCTGTCCAGCGCCTTGAGACGTCCTCCTGATGTGAAAGGTGCTACACAAATGTAATCTTGTTGTTGTTGTTGCAAGGCGAGTGCTCTAACCACTGAGCTACGAATTCCACTTTATGGTCTTCACTGTCGAGTACTTTGATAGAGATCCAATTGAATTCACATACTAAGCTTGGTAGAGTAACTTTCTCCATTTTATGCATTTGTGAACAAATCATTTTGTCTTACTAGGATTATTGTGTGAAGGTAACTTCAGACATGAGTCAAAGGTGAAGGGACGTAAAATTCAACAAGTTAAAACAAAGCTTCCTGCAGCTGGTTCTGTTTTCATGTCGCCCTTGACGGCTGGAGATTTAAAGCCAGTGATGTCGAATGAGGTAAAGTAGTGTATAACTTCTCATGACACAATGATCAGACGTGTGCTTATAGTACATTTGTTTATCTTGAAGGAACACTGATTTTTTTTGTATAGAGCATATCTGTGCATTTTAACATTTCCTTCTAGACCAAGTGATATTTTTTATTTCATCTATTGAAAGTAATTTTATAGTTTGTCAATTCTTTTGTTTGCAAATACATTTTTAATTGCTTTTTCATAATGACTGTCTACTCAAAGATCAAGTTTTTAATCAAGTTTAAATATAGTTTGAGCTCTACCTGTAATAACTACCGATTTCACTCAGCAATTGAGCAATTGTATTTGTTCTGCGTTTAGACAATGGATAACAAACTGCTTTCTTAATTTGAAGTCGCTGGGAACACTCAGCAAGTCAGGCAGCACTTATGGAAAAAGGAAAGTGAGTTAACGTTTCGGGTCCACAACCCTTCGTCAGAAACATTGACTCACTTTCCTTTCTCCATAGATGCTGCCTGACCTGCTGAGTGTTCCTAGAGACTTCTGTTTTTGTTTCTGATTTCCAGCATCTGCAGTATTTTGCATTTTGCTTTCTTAATCTGTGTATCTGCTGCATTTGGAGTCTGATAACCACTCTTTCCTAACTAATGTGAAATTCTTATTTAGTAATCAGATGAATTAGAATCTTATTGTTCTAATCTTTCATCTTGTTTTACAAAAAGAGTGTAGAATTGAGTTGTGAAATTTGGACATTTTCTTCATGTTTGATATAGCCTATTGACATCTTATCAAAAGTCAATTATTTGTAGATGACATCCTGTGTCTCTAATAGGAAATAATGATTGGTATAAATGTTCTGTTTTATTGAAGCAAAATCAATGATTTGACTTCAACTCTTTATTCCTGTTTTTAAAAAAAAGGTGGATTTTGAAAATGTTGAATGAAAAGATTAAGTGCACTTTCCCACCACTCAAATATGATAATGAAAACAGATTTAGCAGTAGCTGGAAGTCTGAAATAAAAACAGAAGTCGCTGAGAGCACGCAGCAACTCAGGCAGCACTTATGGAGAGAGGAAAGTGAGTTAACGTTTCAGGTCAATGATCTTTCGTCAGAACTCAAGAGTATCGAAGGAGATGGGCAAAGGTGGGTAATTGGAGTTGAGGTACAGATCAGCCATGATCTAATAGAATGGTGGAACAGGCTCGAGGGGCTAAATGGCCTAACCCTGTTTCCATGTTCCTGTGACTTTTTAGGTGGTGGATACTGAGGGCCAAGTATTGCTTTCATACTCTTATCTTCTACATTTTGCTTCCTTTCTCTTTTCTGCCCAGCTGCTGTTATCTTCTAATAGTCTCCAGTTTTTGGTTCATGATATAGTTATACTTCACTTCATAATGTCAAGAGTTGTTCTGATTGTTAGCACTGCAATATATTATAACATCTAGTATAACATTAATGTATGGCTTCAATGCCATTGTTGCATTTTGTATGGTTTCCTAAAAATATTGCAGTCGTGGCTTTGTCGCATCAGAACAAGTTAGATAAAGTATGTTACAAAATGTTCATGAAGTAGAGTAAAGATGAATTTTTCTGATGTTCTCTTCCCCCTCCCCTAGTAGTTAATATAATGTAACCATGGTTTTACTTTAAATCAGATCATGAAAGAAAAGGAAGTGAGCAGAAGCGCATCTTTAAAAGATCTATGCCCAGAGGACAAGAGACGTATTGCTAATCTAATCAAAGAACTTGCTCGGTGAGTGCCAGAAACTTGATGGCTTCATTGAGAAGCTGCAGATGGACCCCTTCCTAAATGACGTTTTCATATGGGATGATGTTTGACAAAGATTACTTCATTCTGATCTACTGTTGGGCAAACTAGCTCTCTATTTCCACTGCCCCATTTAGTTGGCAAATGTAAAATGCTCAGAAGCTAATCATTGATAACTGGAGTCTGCTTCATAAAACTTATCCTATCTCCATCCACAGTGAAAGCTGAATAATGAGGCATAATATTCCTTCTGCGATCCATTTATGAAGACAGTACAGTATTTCATGAACTGTAACTAACATCCTGTAAATGACTGCACAACTTGTGAACTGAAATGTAGAATGTCTGCATTTTCTTGTTAATGTAGACATTTTATATAAACCAGTGCTATATTACCCAGCTAGATGTAGTAGTAATGTGACTTTTTGCTTTGAGAGTATTACAGAATCCAAACTAATTTATTTTCAAACCTTGTAGTTCAGCCTTTCATAAAATCAATGTGATGGCTATTTGCATTGTTGTATCTTGTGTTGAGCATGGGCTTAAGAATCGTATTCCAGTTCCATTCACAGCATAGTGACTGTTGTCATACAGTGAAACAATTTTACATCCTCTTTCCTCAATTTGTTTGATATTGCACTTAATTTTAAGCTTGTTTGGGACTTGCCGAATTTTATTCAAGTAAGGTGAAATATATGGCTGTTATCCATCTTGGTGACATACAATTGAAACCAACTAGACATTGCCGACTTGCTCAAGTCTTGCCTAAACTATATAATGAGGTGGTTTAGTCAATACATTTTCCTATAAAATAATTCTCTGCTGCCATTGATGGCTCTGTGGACATTTTGAGGTTTTATGGCTTATGAGTAGGCAATCCAAGACTTTGCCCTGCGTGAAGGGGGCTATATACATGCATGTTGTTGTTATTATGAGTAATTATTTCATAGCTAAGTGTCAGACCTTAAAAAAGCAATTGTTTTATCCAAATTTAGATTGTTGAGGAAATGTGCAGGACTGACAACATCTAGTATGTTCTACCTTGTTTTTTTTTAAAAAACTATCTCCCTACCCCCATCATTGTAAAAAAAAAGAAATTGGATTATCCCACTATTCCTCTTGCCTCCTGCTTTCCTGGTAGTCTGTTTCACATGTTTAAGGAAGTTTATTTTAAACTGTCTACTTACCCTTCTCATCCGAGATTTGAGACAACAACAAGATTATATTTGTATAGCGCCTTTCACGTTGGGAGGACGTTCCAAGGCGCTGGACAGAGTACAGCATTTCAGACCCGAGCTGGGGTTGGGGGGCGAAGGGAAGGGGGGTGGCTGATGGCACAGTTGAAGAGGAAGGTCTTGAGGCGGGACTTGAAGGAGGCTAAGGAGGGGGCGAGGCGGAGTTACTGGGGGATGGAATTCCAGAGGTTGGGGCAAAGTGGCTGAAGGCTCTCCCGCCAATGGTGGGGCGGGTGGGGCGGGTGGGTCAGGGGACGTGGAGCAGCCGGAGCCGGCTGAGCGGAGGGAACGGGCGGGTTGGTAGGGGGTTAGGAGGTCGCAGAGGTAGGGTGGGGCGAGGCCATGGAGGGCTCTGTATGTGAGGACCAGGATCTTGAACTGGATCCTCTGAAGGAGACCTCTTGACTATATTGGATAAGGTATTGGTGTTTTCTTATACCCTCAATAGTTTTTCTCCAATGTAAACTTTTCCAGCTCTGCCATCTCTCCTCATAGCTCAGATACTCAATAATATCATGTATTAATTTAGTTGCCCTTTTGTTGTACCTTCTTCAAAACTGGGATGTTTCTAGGATATAGGAACAGGAGTGGGCCATTCAGTCCATTGAGCATTTTTTGGGATCATGGCTGATCTTTATCTCAGTACCATATACACAGGAGACGTAAAGAAAACTGAGTTTCAATAAATATGTGAATATGTTTCTATTCTAAGTTCCCCTTCCTCTAGTCATTTGAAATCTTATCGTTTCAAGATGGTTCCAAGTGTACTTTGCTGTTTCCCCTCTTCTCCACATCATTATGAGTTGTAGTATCTATAATTCCAGTCATAAATTTTGCTGTAAATACATGTGATAATTCTTTAGATATATGCTAATCCACTGAGTTGTGACTTTTGAAATTATTTGTTTTAATTAGAGGTATTGGGATTTTTGGAAATTTGAAAAAAAGTTATCAAAGTATCCAGCAGTTACTTTCAAGTTGTTACAAAATTGATTTACCAGAAGTCATTCGCTGTGCCCCACTGTGTTGCATATTAAATTGCTGAATAAAGTAACCGAATAAGAGAGTCGTTTTATCTGGAGAGATTTGGTTTTCAGGGCATTTCAAATGAAGCTGCAATTGTAATTAAATACAGCACAGTGGGAATGCAATCCTGTTTAAAGTTTACTAGCTGGATGTCTGAAGACCTGCCAGGTCCTCAAATATACGTGATCGCACTAGAACTCGGGTTGTTTTGCCCTTACTTTCAGCTGATTGTGTTTTTACTCCCCATTGCTAAGTTAACAATGTCCTGTTAATGTTAAATTCATTGTGATCTTATTAGTAAATGCATGTTTTCTCTGGAACTTCATTGAAATATGTCCTGGGATTTTAAACCATCAACAGCAATCAAATCATAAAGTGGCATGCCAGTAGGTTTTGGATGCCTATCTCCTTCTCAGGGGTTGGTAAGAATCCATAAATTGTGTATCATTTCTTTTGACCTTAGGCTAGTATTTATCAGGAATAATGAAGGATAAGATGTAATGGGCTGCTGCCATTCCTTGGCTGTCTTGCTTATCGTGGGCAGCTTCTGAATGGGTTTAGGCTGTAGGGAACATTGCAGTGAAGGATGATACCTCATCCATTTGGCAGTTGCTGTGCAGCATCACAAAGATTGGGCTAAATTTTGTTACAATGTGACTCTTGGATTTTGTTTTTGGCAACCTGAGGCACCTGTAAAATTTCTATGTATCCATGTGAATTTGTCATTTGGGCTTTAATCCTTATTTTGTTTATAAAGTATTGTTGTATGCCCTATTTTTTACAAGGGCATTGAAGCAGACTATAATGTATTGGTAGCTGTCATTGGTACAGACATAACTAATAATAATCCTTGCATTTGGTATAACTCCTCTAACATCAAAAGGCATGCCACAATTTTTTTTGTCATGTATTGACTGTATGTCTAGGCAAGCTATTCGCACAAACTAACGTTTTAAATCTCTGTAGGTCATACCAGCAATAATGATGACCACTTAGCTCATTTTCTCTGTTGCTCATTTCAGTCCGTTCCTTTGCTCAGAATTTTAAGCAGATGGTGCATTACATTTGGTATTAAATATTCCACCAGAAAGGATTCACAACCTTTGAGCAGATGTATGCTAGTGATCACTGCATAATTGTATTCAACAAGGTACTTAAAAAAGCAAACATAACATTGGAGATGTTAAGACTTAAGGAGACCATATTTTGGAGATGTAAAAAAAAGGGTTGTCGGGGGAGAAGTTCTGTAAGTTTGAAGCAGAACGAGGAGAAATCTTTTCACTTGAAAGGATATGTAAGTATTGTTTGAGGGTAAAATTGCAGATTGCAGTGGATAAATGAGAAGGTTTTTTTAAAAAAAAATGAGGACAATGATTGTAAACGATCAAAGTGGAGGAGAAAAGTTTTTTTGTGGATATCTGAAACATAGAAAGGTTGTTTGGAGAGAGCTTAATTTAATCAATCTAGTTATTATATGTGCAAAGTACCTATAGATGGAGTGAAAGGGACTTGAAAGTATTTGGGTCCGGGAGAGGTAGATTGCAAATGTGTTAACTTAATTCCTCACATCTGTCTTTGTGAATTCTAAATCCAGTCAGTTAGGCTTACCGTATGTTGAGGTCAGTGAAGCATAGATGCCATAAAGGAAATAGTTAGCATGGCTTTAGAAGCAATGGGTCACGCTTCACAAATTTCCCGTAATTCTTTGAGGAGATAACTAAACTGGTGGATTAAGGCTAGTCAGTGGGTATAATTTACTTGTATTTTTAGAGTTAGTTTTGCACGTGAAGCTTTTAAAACAATTAGTGCTCATGAACTTGATGGCAAATTAACTGAAATGGCAAAACTACTTGGGAGTATAAAGCAGAAGGTGTTAGGAAGCAAAGCTGAGCTCCACAGTTTCCTGCTGCTTGCTTCGATATATGCATCACATGGAAGCACCACTTCCACCAAGCTTGGGCAGTGAGATTTTATTGTGGGTCTACCACAACTGAGCCTGATAATTGAAGACTCCAGTTGTGCTTCTGGCAGGTGACTATCCACCTTTATCAACAGCTGGAAGTGCTGTAAAAGGGAACTATTTCTCACAGTAAGGAAAGTTTTAACAGTTGAAAAGAGAAGTTGCAATTACTATCCATGCATTGCTTTTTGCCATTCCGGCATTGCTCTGTGAATAGATATTACTAAGCAGATATCAGTGTGTCTTGGTGTTCTAAAAGGTAAACCTCTAATTCTTCTATTTTGAGAAGCTCACCATATTTCTTAATCCATGTGTGCTCAGACTTCACCTGCGTATTACCATCTGTGTGTAAAGTGTTTTTCTTTCCCCTAATGCGTATCTGCTAGCAATTGATTTTTTTCTTCTGTAATGAACTACTTACCTAAATGAACATTTGTCAGTCCCCTTCATAATCTCGAGAATGTCATCTAGTCTCCTTTTACAACGGGTGAACAAACTTCTCCTCGTAACTGAAATACGTATTGCAGGAATCATCTTGACTAGTGCTACTGCATTATGCTACTTCCGTAATGAGAGGATGTGATCCATCTAGGGGACAAATGTGTGCTGCCCATAGTAATTGCCGCCTCCACAGTTGCTCCACAAAACTGCTTATTGTCCAGTGTCCTGGAACATCTTTCCAACATAACGGATGTAATTTGCTGTTGTTGTTTCTGTTGCTGTCTCTTGAGCAAGTATTTGTTGTGGCCCTTTCATGGGTTGTGGTGGGCGTCCATTCATCTTATGGTGAACTAGTGCATTGGTTCTCAAACAAATTTTTTGGGGTGACCTTTTGTAATCAGCCTCATTTCTCTCCCCCCCCTCCCCCCCCAGCCTCAGCCCCACCTGCCTGCCCTCACACACTGTACCGCACATGTAGTCCTGTCGCCCCCTCCGTAGCAGTGGGGCCAACAAGCGCTCAGACTACAAGGACTGACCGGCATTCGCTATGCTGCACACATGCACACTCTATCCTCCCCCAACCCCCACTGTGGCTGCACAAAATCACGTGGGTTGCTGCATTTGAAACACTAAAAATATGCAGTTTTCTCATGTGTTGAGCCTCTAGTGTTCAGACTGCAGGCCATAGTAGCTGAGACTGACCTGGTCCAGCTATTTGACTGTTGGTGGGAAGGGCATTAGAAAATTGCTAACAGTTAGCCCTCAGCAAACGCATATGGATGGTTAATTTTCTGAAGCACCCTCATAATTGTTCAGTAGGCAAGTAAAGGCTTTTCATGCCATTGGGTTTACAGAACATTGTAATCGCAGAGTACACTTAGCTTGAGGGGAAAAAGATTTTCATTAGGGAGATATTCATCTGATTTTTGTTTGATACTTTGGGAAGATCATGTTAGCAATTTCTGATATCTTGTAGTTCCAGTACACTGGTTCACTTTAAACTGCTTGTCTATAATACACCAAAGATAATAGGAGAATAGCAGTCAATATTCTGATGCTGGAGTCAATATTCAGTGTATGCGGTTTCCTTCTGTTATTGACTGTTTTAACCTGATAGTTTTGTGCAGGAGTAGGAACAACATTTCTGAATGACGGGAATGTACGCCTGTTTTTTCCGCAAAAGATTTTTCCACTGTCTGTACGTGTCCGTAAGTGATATTGTCCAAGTAGTTATTCATTTTTTCCAAAAATTGCGCACAAATTGATAGATTTCCTCAGAGAAGCAGCATGCTATAGATGTTACTTACATAGAATCTTCAACACTGAAACAGGCCATTTGGCCCAATTTATCTCTGATGAGGCCCCCGCCCGTCCAAATCCCTGCACTGAAACTAATTTGTTGAAATAAGAATGTCAATTAGTGCATGAAGTTGTCAGGGCAGTAATGTGAACCTGGACAATAAGTGATGGTGGGCTAATTGTTAGTCTGGCCTCTAAACTGAAGCATCTCAGTGGTGAGAGCCACAGTATCTTCCAAAAGGAATAGCCGGAGAACAAAGAATAGGTAACAATTAATATATTCAGCTCACAGCCAATTCTATTTCCTCTTTCCCCTCCCTCTCCTCCCCCTCCCCGAAAAGCTAATTCTGCCATTGTATCTGACATCATTAACTAATCTGCCTTACACCATGGGGTTGCTGAAAACCTGATAATTGGGGTAATATTGCAATTCTTGTGGTAAGAGTATTTTTGATGAAATAGATGATTCTTTTCTTCCAATACATGTAGCAGAAAGCACGCATTGAAGCAACACATTTTGGAAATTCATGGCAGGATCCTAACTGAAACCTAATTCGCGCTTGCGTTTTCTACCCAGAGTAAGCGAGGAAAAAGAAGAAACAGTGGAACGATTAAAGGCTGAACAGGAATCTTTTGAAAAAAAGATCAAAGAGCTGGAGGATCAGAATGAACTCATTATGACCGAGCGAGAAGATATCCTTTTACTGGTCTTGCTTATATGTATTAGTTTTTGTAAGTTTAAAATGTTATGTGCCAAAATCTTAACACCTAAGGCTTGTACTTTACAAATATAGTGTGGCCAAATTGAGCAATGTGGACAGTTAGCCTTGTTACATCTTGCAGCGCAGATTTCTAACTTGAGTCTTTTCAAGGTGTTGGAAGCAGGCAGTAAGGTTATCTGTGCTGTCTCAATCCTACATGAACGCAAATGAGAGTGTATTAACGAACATTTTCTAACACTTTAGAAGAAGTTCAAACTTCAGTCACCCTTTTTATCTAATTGGTATATCCTAATCCTGCAGGTTTTCCAGTATTGCCATTCATGTTCATGTAGTTTGTGTAGATATTATGTCGAGGTTCTATTCTTCGTAATGTTACACTTGTTAATGATGCAAGTTGCTAGTGCTCAAAATGTAAATATTTGTTTCTAGTTCAAGTTATTGTAGGTTTCGTTTATTCGAAAGCTACAGCTTGTTATTCATTGCATGGATTTTTTGTTTGAGTGGAGGAATTGTTCATCACCAACTATTACTATATAAATTACTGTTGGGTGTCAGCCTGCCTCACTTGGTAGCACTCTCATCTCCAGTTCAGGAGGTTATGGATTGAAGACCCACTTTGGGCATTTGAACTCTGTCGAGACTGACATTCCAGTACTGTCCTTCAGATGAGGTGTTAATTAAGGTCCTGTCTTCCTGTTCAGGTGTATGTTAAAGATCCCATGGCATTATTTGAAAGGAGTTTCTCTCCTTTCAATTCCCCCAGATAAAACTGGTCATTTATTTCATGGCTGTTTGTTGGATATTGGTGTGTGCAAATTGGCTGCCTATGAAATACAGTCCCTAAATATATGGAAATCCCTTGAAGCACTTTGAATCATCTTTCCAATAATGAAAGGCTATATCGAATGCAACAATTATTATTTCTAGTTAAAAGAATTTATTGCAGCAACGATTGCATCTTTCTTGTGTGGGTGATACTTCGGTTGCTAGATCAAATATTGTGTTCTTGGCGTTGTATCTCAGGTGAATTCCGGAGAAGAGGCAGAGTCTAAGGATATGTGAAGTGTATTGATTGTAAGCTTGGTTCCTCCATTTAAAGAGCAGTTTTCTCTTGAGCAATTTACACTTATGCACAGTGAAACTTTCATTTAATAGACCATTTGGGAAATGTGCTTTCATTTTCCCCCCCATTTTATTGATCGTCTACTAAAATTTTCTCTTTTTTAAAAAAAACAGAAAGCACTTAAGACTGAAATTTGTTCATGTTTCTACATATGCAGATGATTTCTGGGTTACCAACAGTAATTATTTTGCACAACTGAGAACTCCATCATGCATTAACTATCAGCCTCGCTGTCAATGACTCCTTGGGATTCAGTTGACTGTTATAAGCTTGATGGTTCTTGACAATAGCTGAATGGCAAGATGCAATTTCTCCCCTGTAATCAAATCTGCACACAGCGAACTTTTTAAAATGGGCTTAATTTTATTTGTACTGGACATAAAAATATTGATTACGCATTTTTTTTCTTGATCACATTAAAAGTAGGTAAATTCTTTTCCCTCTAGTCATTTTAGATCGGAACGTCCTTACAGTTGTGCAGTAACTCGGGAATTCATTTTTCTTTTACAGTGCGTCTCAGTTGGTAGTATTCCGACTCGGGGAATAGGGAGGCAGTGGAATATATGTGAACTCTCGGGCCCTCTCCTCGTTCGGCTCCCCATCCTACAGCAAATTGAATTCAAGATCCATGTCCTCTTTCAAATGTCTCCATGGCCTTGTCCCACCTTAACTCTGTGTCCTCCTACGATTGTCCTGTCTCGGTCGCTCCCTCCACACAGCAAATATTGGCCTGGCTCCTGTCCCATGTTTGATCCAACTCGCCATTGGTGAGTGGGTTTTCTTCCCTCACTTTCTGGAATTCCATCCCAGAATATTGCCCCCTGCTTCCCTGTTTTCAAAACTCACCTTGACCTATATTTTTGGCCATAGTTTTGGCCACTTTTCTCCCATCTGGCCCCTTTCCCAGCTTCCTCAACTCCTCCAACTCTGGCTCCTAGTGAGTTGTGTGAAACATTTAGAGATGTGCTTGTATATCCCTGCACAGATGTAAATTGTAATCCTTGTCTTTGGATCAGAAGATCCTGAGCACAAGCTTAAGTTTATACTACTAATCATGTACTGGAGCATTAGCTTTAGTTATGGGGTTGAACGCAAGAACCTTGTTACAGTAGCTATCTTGTCACTGTTCAAAAAGGTATTTGTTCCTTGATCCTGCTAATGTTCCATATTGTGGAGTCCTGTAGCTCAGTGGTTAGAGCACTCGCCTTGCAAGCGAGACACCTGGGTTCAATTCCAGGCAGGGCAAAACCTTGGGCAAGTTTCCTTACTCCACACGCCTGATAATAATCCCTCCAAAATAAAACAATAATGAATTGGTCATTTTCAATCCACGACTGTTTGTGGGACGCTGCTGTGCGCAATTGGCTGCCGGTTTCGCCCACAACTATACAGTCAATTCACTTTACAGTCTATTCTGTGAAGTGCTTTGAGATGTCGAGAAGACGTGAAAAGCGCTATATCAAATGCAAGGATTATTATTATATTAATTGGTGGAACCTTGCAGCAGCAACAGCAGCAGCAAATATCTATTTCCCATCAATTGGTCACTGCACTTGACAACAAATGTTGGTGACTGTCAAGCCTAGCTCAGTTGGAAATACTTTCGCCTCTGAGTCAGAAGGTTGTAGCTTCAAGTTTCACTTTGGGATTTGAATTTGCATAGCCTAAGTTGATACTCCGATGTTAGTGCTGAGGGTGCACTTTATTGTTGGTGGTGCCATCCTTCAGATGAGACATTAAAACCTTCTGCCTGTTCAAGGCGGCATTAAAGATTCCATTGGCACTACTCAAAGAGACGAGAGTTTCTTTCAGTGTCCTGGCCAACAATCCCACAGATAAAATTGGTTGTTCACTCCATGGCTGATTGTGAGCTATTACTGTGTGCAAATTGTATTTGTCTATAAAATACACAAGTCACAAATTAAAAATGCGGTGAGATGTTTCAGTGTGATACGGTCCTATCATCAAATGTCAGGATTCTCATCGTCTGTGTTTGAATTCCATGTGGAGTTGGTATAGAACACAATAGTGTTGTCATCCTTTGGAATAATGCTGACCCTTGTTTTTAGTTTTCTGTATATAAAATGTGATTATGGAGATGGGAAGTCTTTGTGCATATTCTTTTAATTTGTCTCCAAAGAACATATAATGGTAATTTTAATTACTTTTTTGAGACTATTTAAATGGAAATTAATTGGAAAAGAAAAGAAGGCATATCTGAGACTTTCATGCAGATGACCTGCAGAGGGCAGTAGTCACCAATCTTTGCAGCCTTGTATGGTAATAGGACTGCACTTTTTACCTGCCATATTCCTTAATATATTTTTCAATCACAACTTCAGGAAGAGTTTTCCACATTCTGGGGAATCATAAATTATGTAGTAGTAACTGATATTTTATGAACCATAGATTTTGGAGCTAAAACTAATGCCTTTCTTTGCTTGATGTGTTCTTTCCTGAACTGGAGAGAATTTCTGGTTGTGCCTTTTGTTCTTGTATCTGCAATGTTGGAGGAGGAACTATCCATAATGTTGGTAGGGTTAGTGTTTGCTTAGAGACAGTGCTTGCTGAGAGACTAGAAGATCATTTCACATCTGCAATAACCTTTGTTTGATTGAACTGTTTATTCTGACTGCACTTGAGAGACAAACATGACTGTGTTGTGGGATGTCCTTGAAATAAGGTGTCAGTCCAACTGTGGAAAACCACATTTTTATATTCAGTTCACAGCTTTTCTAACATAATTTGCACCCCTATTGAATTGAGGACTGGTTTTGATTTAGCTCTCATAGTTTATTTTACTCTGGCTTTTTAGATCAAATTATTAACCTCCGTCAAATGCTTTTGAGTCTAGATTGACTTGAGAGACGTGCCCTGAGACATCCTTCTGACATAAAGGGCACTATATCAGTTGCAAAGGAGTAATATTATTTACTGTAAAATGTAGTGAATATGTATTTTGTAGGCAGACTATAATTACTACTTGACAAAATGTAAAAGTAAAATACTACATAGATTCAGTTCCTGGCTCTCAATACTTTTTTATTTTAAACTCCCCACTTCTTGTAAATCAATTTAATGTTATTTTATAAATCTCAATGTGAAATTTCTTTGCACCATTTATAATTTAAAGCTTGGGTAGTGCACTATGATTTGTAAAAATCCATTTTCATTCAGGTTTAACTTCCAGTTATTGAAATGGCTTTCTTTTTTTTAAAAAAAGGGAAACTGCATTTTTTTTGAGTTTCAAAGGAAATTACAAGTGTCCTGTAGTGTATTGGTTAGAGCACTCGCCTCACAAGCGAGAGGACCCGGTATTGATTACTGGCCAGGGTGAAACCTTATGCAATTTTCCTTGCTCCACCCTCTGTTTACCTGGCTGTAAGTAGGAACCTGGTTTTAGTTGATTGGTGGATCGCTTTGGGGGGATTTAATCCCTCCAAAAAAAAAAATTATTTGGTCACTCAATCCACGACTGTTTGTGGGATGCTGCTGTGCGCAATTGGCTGCCACGTTTTGCCCACAAAATATACAGTCAATTCACTTTACAGTATATTCTGTGAAGTACTTTGAGACGTGTTGACAATGCGATAAGGTGCTATATCAAATACACAAGTTACTATTACGTCCAGGTAAATCTTGAGTAGTTCAACTTTTCCCTTTGTTAAATTTTCTTGACTCATTTTGCACCCTTGCAGCAGCAGTATACGGAATGCCAAGAACTCTTAAGCGTTTACCAGAAATATCTATCTGAGCAGCAAGAGAAACTTAATCGATCCTTAACAGAGTACAGCAGCCCAAATCGGAAGGTAAGTCTTTTAACTTGCCAGGTCAGTGACATTGTAAGGGGCAGTATTGATGTGTCAATTTAATGCGGTGTTTACACTTCCTCTGACAGAAGATCAACTTACTTTATTAAATCCTTGTCAGAACAAGCAGTCTGATGATGTACTGTGGCACCAATGGGTGGTGCCAGGGCATGGATGAGATGCAAGTTTCTGTTTTTCCCCTTGTTTTTGAGTTTCTAATCTCAGCTGGACTGCTTTGGGAAGGGAAAATGTGAATAGCATTCCAGCATTCATGCCACTTGGACTGGGTTCAAGTGGCATTAATGAAAGCCTGGTTGCAGTTTAGCACCAGGATGAATGTTGCCTGGGAAACCAAGGGAACTGGGAGATAGATAAACTTCTACCTTTTTTACAAAGTCTTTTAAGAACGTTATATTGATTAAAAATAGAATTGGTGTTCTCAAAACAACAACAAAATTAGATTTGTATAGCGCTTTTCATGTCCGGAGAACGTCCCAAGGCGCTGAACAGAGTTTTGAACCTGAGGTCGGGGTCGGGGAGGGTGGAGGGCAGGGGGGAAAGCAGGGACATTGAAAGCACGGTTGAAGAGGAGGGAAGGGAAGGACTTACGGAAGGTGGGGGCAGAGTGATAGAAGGCCCGCCCGCCAATAGTGGGGCGAGCGAGGCAGGGGATGTGAAGCAGGCCGGAGCCCGCTGAGCTGAGGGAGCAAGCACGATGGTAGGGGGTTAGGAGGTCGCAGAGGTAGGGGGGAGCAAGACCACGGAGGGCTTTGAAGGTGAGGACCAGGATCTTGAACTGTATCCTCTTGTGTGATGGGAAGCCAGTGGAGTCGAGTGAGGATAGGGGTGATGGAGCCGAATGCGGAAGAGGACGTGGGCTGCAGAGTTCTGGATGATCTGCAGCTTACGGAGGGAGGAGATGGGGAGGCCGACAAGCAATGAGTTTGCATAATCGAGTCTCGAGATAATGAAACCACGTATGAGGGTTTTGATGGCCTGCGGTGTGAGACAGTGTCGGAGCCGGGCGATGTTGCGGAAGTGGGGGAAGGCAGAGAGGGTCAAGGCACAGATGGGGTAGAAAGGGTAGTTGAGGGTCAAACGGCGCCAAGGTTCCGGACTGGTTTAGTAAAGTGGAGTGTGCAATCAACGATGGTGATGCCGTCAGCGCCTGAGGTGAGGAGGCGCTGACGGGAGCCAATCAGGAGGGCCTCGGTCTTGTTGATGTTCAACTGAAGAAAGTTAGCTCTCATTCAGGATTCGATGTCAGACAGACATTCTGTCAGGACAGCAGTGGTCCTGGAGTCAAGGGTGGAGGCAGAGAGATAGAGTTAGGTGTCATCCGCATACATGTGGAAGTTGACCTCATGTCTGTGGATGATGTCACCAAGAAGGAGCATATAGATATTGAAGAGGAGGGGACCAAGGACAGAGCCCTAAGGAACACCATACAAGACGGTCCGGGGGCTAGAAGAGAATCCGTTTGTGGAGGTGAAGTGGAGGCGATGTGAGAGGTACGACCTGAACCAGTCAAGGACAGAGCCATGAAGGTTGAGGTGAGAGGAGAGGCGGTAGATGAGGATAGAGTGGTTGACGGTGTCGAAGGCAGCAGAGAGAACGAGAAAGCAGCGGGAGCCCTGCAAAATTCCTGCGTCTAATAGCATAATAAGCAAATTGTGATAAACTTTTAATGAGTTTATATAACATGAGGGCAAAATTGCTGGTTGCCATTATGTGTAGTGACTTTAGCAATGCACATTATAATTATAATGGGGAGAGGGTGAAAATACCATTAGAGGCCAACCTGGTCAACTACATGTCACACCACCTAGTGTTTTTGCCTCTCTGATGAAGTGTTTTGCTCTTGACAGAAATGACAGGAGTAATATATTTTCCAAGTAAGGGTCAACTAACAAATGTACTTTGTAGACACAAATGTTATTCTTGTAAATTCAGTTGAATATCACACATTTTCATTAAAAAAATTATAGAATGATTGGTGATGCCTTCAGTGTAAAATTAAATGTGCTTTCGTAGCTGTAAAATGCATGCTTTTATTGTGTGTTGGGCCATAAGTTTTCCACATGGCAAATATTTTTTATTCCCCTAATTTTCTGTGGCACGTTTCAGGTGTGATGTTCTACAAAGGTAGTGTGCAATAAAACATACCTTTCAGTTAGGTGTGATCACTTTCAGTCAGAGTCACTTTTAGTTAAATGTGATCAAAAATGGCACATTTGCAAGGAGAATGACTGCAACATCTGCTGCATTATAGATTCCTTTTAGATGAATTCCTGGAACAACAGTGATTCAATGTTTACAGCATGCTGGGAATCTGTTTAACGTGGAAACAGGGCTGGATATAGATTGCTTCATATCACTGAATAGAATAAGTGAAAACTGACTTCACTGATGCACTTAAAATTACAAGTATACAACACAACTCATCTGTTTGTCAGAACTGAGCAGTATTTAATGTATGTGGAGACTGCAACTTTTAATTGAATGCTGCCCTGAATTTGCCGCTGTGCTTGGAATTGGATTCTGAACAATTGAAATATATGCCCCTTTCCTTATTTATGGAATATTACATATTGTTTCCCAGCTGCTTTTGTATTTTAAGAAAAATTGTATGTAAACATGTACATATAGGAGGCTGGAAAAATATTCCCAACATTCATTTTAATCATTAAAGTTTGAATCAAGATTTAAAAATTTGTTAAATTACAAATTGGTTTGAGGTTTGGCTTTGTTGAGGTTGTTAATTCTGTTAGAATTGAATCTGTTGCAATGACATGATTGTATAAAATATATTTGCCAGTCAAAGCTGTAATTTAAGCCTTGAAAATTTACTTTTAGAATTTATTTTATGAGTATAAGGAAAATAGTTTCAATGCAAGTATTCCCCTGGCAATGTTTTTAAAAAATGGTTAAAATGATATTTGATTGGTACTGAATAATAGTATAATAATAATCTTTACATTTGATATAGTGCCTTATCACTATATCATTTATATTTATATTTGAATGTTCCCAGTTCAAATTACTGTTGAAGATGTTTTATCATCTCTAATTTTCCATGTAGCTGCCCGCTGATGGATCCTGTAGCTAATGCCAGCTCCATAATAAATCTGGTGGCCTGAAATGGCAGGTCTCCATGGAGGTTTACATTTCCTACAAGTTTGGAGAATGCTTTCCAATTTGTTTCTTGGTGTTCGTTGTTCCTATTTGGGTCCGAGTTAACATCTTTACTGATTTATTTTAATGAACGTTAATCCAATTTTAGAAGATTAAGGGGAGATTTAAAAGAGGTGTTCAAAATTATGAGAGGTTTTGATAGAATAAATAGGGAGAAACTGTTTGCTGTGGCTGTTGGGTCGGTAACCAGAGGACACAGATTTAAGATAATTGGCAAAACAACAGCAAAATTACATTTGTATAACGCCTTTCACATTGGGAGAACGTCCCAAGGTGCTGGACAATCAGTGTTTTGGGCCCAAGCTGGGGGTCGGGATCAGGAAGGGTGGAGGGCAGGGGGGGGAAGGAGAGTTGACTAAAGGCACAGTTGAAGAGAAGGGTTTTGAGATGGGTCTTGAAAGAGGTAAGGGAGGGTGGGAGGGAGCAGGCAGGTTGGTAGGGGGTTAGGAGGTCGCAGGGGTAGGGGGGATCAAGGCCATGGAGAGCTTTGAAGGTGAGGACCAGGATCTTGAACTGTATCGTCTATGTGATGGGAAGCAGGTGGAGTTGGGCGAGGATGGAGGTGATAAGGTCACATGCTTGGTAAGGGAGAGGACATGGTCTAAAGAGTTCTGATGATCTGCAGCCTGTAGAGGGAGGAGTTGGGGTGGCTGACAAGCAGGGAGTTTGCATAGTCGAGCCTGGATGATATGAATGTGTGTATGAAGGTTTTGGCTGCCTATGATCTGATACAGTGGCGGAGCAGGTAATGTTGCGGAGGTGGGGGATGGCAGAGCGGGTCATGGCACGGATGTGGGGTAGAAAGGATAGTTGAGGGTCAAATAAGATGCCAAGGTTCCAGACTGGCTTAGTAAGATGGAGAAAAAAAACAGAGGGGGGATGAGGAGAATTTTTTCTTACCCAGTGTGTTGTTACAATCTGGAATGCACTGTCTGAAAGAATGGTGGAAGTAGATTTGACAGTAGCTTTCAAAAGAGAATTGGATAGAAATGTAAAATGGAAAAATTTGTAGGGCTAAGTGGTAAGAGTGAGGGAGTGGAACTAGTTGGTAGCTGTTTCAAAGAGCAGGCACGATGGGCCGAATGGCCTCCTTCTGTGCTGAAAGATTGTATGAATTTAAACTGTCATGATCAATGAATTTATTCTGGGTTCAGTTTTATACACAAAGGTATCTGAAGCATAATTGTGAAAAAATATATAAAAGAAAATTTATGTGCAATCAAACTGTTGAAATTTCCTCCCCCTCCAAATCTAGTTTAAATGAATCCCAATTGTATCATTTAATTTGTACCTATGGCTCAGCTGTCTACCTAGTTAAATGTAAACCATCCTTCCTATCAATATCTTTTACTTAAGAATGTTTCCCAGTTATCTAGAAATTCAGTTCCCTCCTGGAAAGAAACTAGGTAACAATACCCTTAAGAGCTTTTGCTTTAAATTAACCACGTAAAAATGCTTGCTTACTCGTTACTCGCATTCAGTGTGCAGCTTGATATTAAAAAGCTGATGTACAACAATGCACATAGTGAACTAGAAGTTGGAAAATTAATATGACCTTTTCGATTAATACGGCTATACTGCTACTATACTGGTTTAGAACAGCACATCACTAAACAGTAGTCATATAACCTAATGCTTTTGATCCTAAGGCACAACTGGTCAAAAGAGCAGCTACTGAAGCCATAGATATAAAGCACGATACTTAAAAAGGAGCCATGTGAGTATGATTTAGGGAATAAATCTAGATGGGTTCAGTCACTAGTGAGCTGTGCACAAACATACATTTAGGAAGCACTGCTCTCTGG